TTGCCTATATATACAAATATACTGAAGGAGTGGAGAAAAAAAAATAAAGCAGAGCCATTTATATGGGTAAAACCAGAGGCTCTAAGGTGTGTGGTCAGATATTAAGCAGATAAATTACAGTCATCTGTAGGCTTATATATATCACTGTGTGAGATAATTTCAAGGCGTATGATAAATTCATAGACAGGGCTTGCAGATCACCTTTTGTTGAAATGCAGGGTTAAGTTGCATTGCTAGGGTGGAATGAATGCTGGAGTGGAATGAATAGCTAAATGGGTCAGGAAATGCAGTTTCATGCATCTACAAGTAACAAACAGTGTGGTTGAGTTATCTTTCGGTGGTTTTTTTTCTCATTTAAAGTATTTCAAATTTCCATGGTTGGTGTGTTGAAGGAGCACCCCATTGCTATTATTTTGCACATAAAGAAAATTTTGCTTGTATTTTCTGCTTTCTAGTTACCCCCCCCAATCCCTCTGATTCCCTTCCCTTGTGCCAAGGGTCTTGTGGAGTTACTCTAGAGAGGAACAAGCCGTACATGTTTAGAATCATGGATTGACTTAGAGCATCCATCATCAGACTATGCCATGAGAGTAAGGAACACTTTTTCATTTTATTAGAAATGCAGAATCAATCTTCACTGAAGTGGGACCAGGGTCCTGCATTGTTGTGTAACCTTGGGAGTGTGACAGGTCCCTCAGCTCCAACTTATGATTCATGCTGCCCTTCAGCCCTGCTGCTCAGAGACCTTCTGTAGGTTTATCTTTTCTGGTTCTCCTGGGGTCCACCTTCCTCATGCTTTATAGTTTCCCTCTTTCTGCTAGGGAGCACTTTTAGGACATGAAAGTTTCTGGAGTTCACTCTGAGCCCAGTAGTGCCTGACATCTCCCTGTTCCAGCTGCTGCTGAAGCCTGTTTCCTCCAGGCAGAGGGGAGCACACACTGCAGGTTGACTGAGGGCTGGCACGAAGGGCTAAGCTGCTCTCTCTGCCTCTGACAAATCATTCACACAAAGCCAGACTACAGTGTACAGAATCAGCTTTGGCTCTCAGAGAGCTCTGTGTAAAAATTGACTTTCAGAGGGTCAATATGAACCACTATAAACCAACTACCTCTTCTAGTCATAACTACATTTGATAATTTGGCCTTAAACAATCTGACTTACACAGTGACTCAGGGATGCTTTCTGTCTTTCTATCAAAAATATAGTAGGCTATTGATCTGAGAATTCCAGAGGGCCTTTGGGATATACCCACTAAGAGGAGACAGAAGGCACTGGAAGTTATTATGGAAAAGATGTTTTTAACAACTTTAATTAACAATAAACTGCACATCCACCAGGAAAGATTTGAGATGAAAGGCTACCTATTTTTTTTTTTGAGGTAGGTAATTACACTTGGTATACTGAAAAGTCATAAGTTCTACTAAATTTTTGACAATTACTTACTGCCCTGCACTTCTGATTTCTTATTACATATTGTTCAATACATGTCAAGTGCAAAATATATTCTGTATCTGTTGTGTACTATAATAGTGCATGTCTCCATGGTAAGACAAAAGAGTCCTGGATAATTATAATTTCTCAGAAACCTTGAAACCACATCACAGATTATAAAAGATATTTTACTAAAATAAAGCAAAGAAAATGGGCAGAACTAAAACCCAAATGTACCGATTAATCACAATAACACTTTAACAGAAGTTTTAGTAGATGGTTTTCTGGCTCCATCTGGTGTTTATTTTACAAAATTTCTACCTCAAGGCAGAATGATTTCCCTTTCCAGCTGCGCATGGGAAATGAAGAGTGGTATTAAAAAGACAGTTAAACATACATAGTATGAGGACTTACAGTCAAAGTTTTATATTATTTATTGTGAAAGTAAAAAGAGAATACTTTTTAAAATTAGTTTTTATATCCTGTGACTTAAATAGTTGTCATCTCTGAGAAAGGTCTTCTATAGCAAACTTATAATTTCTCCTTAAGATACTGCTTAGAATGCCAAAATACTATTCCTCCCTATCAGCCTTGCTTTGCTTGCATGCTCATGATGGCTAAATCAATACTACTGCTTAATTCAAATAAACTCTCAGTTTATTATCATAAATTTTCACATCAAATATTTTATTGGTGCTGCTTTCAGATCTGACAATCACATATTTACTGCCTGTACAGAAAAATCACCTGCTTCACTTGGTTTGTAAGAGTTTCTAGGAGGAGTTGATCCATCGCTGTCCCAGGGGATGAAGCAACACTAATAAGTCTTTAGTTTCCTGGGCCTTCTTTTGGGCCCTTCTTGTAGATGTGTCTGACATTTGCCCTCTTCCAGTCATTAAAGATATCCTCTGATCTCTGTAACTTTTAATTATAAATATTAATATTATAGACAGTGGCCCTGCAGCAATGTCAGCCACTTCTCTCACACTGGGGCAAATTTTGTCTGGGCACATAGACTCATGGGGATATCAGAAGATAAACTCTTCTTTGTTAGCATATCATGACAGAACACCCTTCTTTTTCTACTGGGCCTAACATATAAAACATCCTTGTCCTAGTATATTCATAACCCAGCAAACAGTGTAAAAATGGGGTAAAATAAATGTTATCCTTTAAAAAAGGTATTCCCACTTTTCATAGAGTGGAGAACATATGTATTGCACACGCTCTATAACAATAATATTAAATCAACATGAATGCATCTTTAAATATGATTTAGAAATTGAGAATAATGTTGAGTAGCCAGTACTTCCTGACAAACAGCCTTTCTGCATGCCTCAGGGGCTTGATTGTACTTGCAGAATACCAGAACATAGTAGATAACATTGAGAAAGTCTTCCCTAGCAGCAAAAATGTAGGTTTGCTTGGTTTTTGGGTTTTTTTTTTTGGTTTAGCTTCTCCCCCCCACAGACCCATCTATAAAAGCATAATTGTTGCATTTATAACTACCAGACTGAGCTCTTCCTTACACTAACAGAGCACCCACCCTCTACACTCTCTGACCCAAAATGATTCAGCATTGGCTGATGCAAATGGAATAGTTTAACTTTAAAGGAAAAGAAAATTGGCAGTCCTCTAAATGTCACAGAGGAAATTTATGGCATGTAGGAAAATAACCTTGTAATGTTGAGCCAAGACTGCCTAACACATGTTGTATTCATTATAGCCTAAGCACAATAACAACATTTTTAATGAACCTTATCTCCCTGTGATGATACTGTGGAGGCATTATAACTACTAAAATAACTACTAAAATAACTACTAAAGTCTTGTTTGCCCCATTGGGTTTCTGACAAGTTCTCAGGCTGGAATCTAATGTTATCTCAGTGCTCTGATCCTGCACAAATGGAGAAGGCTTCAGTATTAGGAAAATAGCTATTAGCAGCTCATTTGTTCTTTGTGAAAAAATGCCAATCACTTCTTTTTAAATTTTTAAAAGTTTAATAGTAATAAAATGGTTATAAAAATAGTAATATAATTAGAGTAATAAAAATTTGGACAATTAGAATTTAGGACAATATGAGACAGTAAAAACAAAGAGTTACAGACAGTCTGGGCACCTCTTTCTGGGCAAAATAAGCCCGAAAAAGGACATACATTAACACAGGATTAACCCTTAAAAGCAATAGCCTGTTGCACATTCATACACCTCACACATGATGCATAAATTCGATTCAAACAAAGGATTCTGTCTGGTCAGCGCCAACTTCTTCCTCTTGATCCTGACAGCATCTTCAGAGCTGAGTGAGGCAGGAAGAACTCGATAAGAGAGCAATAAATTCTTTTCCTCTGAAAGATTTAGGTGTCCTGTGGCTGCTATTTCGGTGTGAGTCCTCTCTTTAAAAAATATCTTACACAGCATAGTTTCTATTTTAACATTATGTTATAACCTAAAATTATATTTAACACACTTTTAAAGAAAATTAATACAGCATAACATATAATATTAATTTTAATATTTGCGAAAAGCCAATCATAAAATACGCATTTTTCACATTCTTCTTTCCAGAATGAAGCTCATTTGTGAGACCCCTGGAACAGTCAGTCATTTCAGGGGACAAGGAAGCCCAGCCCTGGCCCTTGTGCCACACTCATTCAAATCTTTGTGTCACTTCCAGCTGTCAGCTCTTGCACAGGGAGAGAAGAACACAACCTCTTTGGGACCCCTTGAAATTCAGGAGAAAGTGGTCTCAAGTCTGGATCCTTACCAGGGTAAAACCAGAACAAAAAAAAAAAAAAAAAAAAAAAGGTGTTACTTAGTATCTTTCTGTGTTTTCCTGAAGTGAATAGGAGATACTTTACCTCACCAAGGTACCTTCCTCAGAAAGGAGATGCTACATATTTTCTGTTAGATGGGGCATTGGAGCCTTCTGGGAACTGAGACGTAATGAGAGTTAACTTGCTTTCAGGATAGAGTTTCCCAATAGCTCAAAAATATCAAAATATCTGTATCTCATGGGGGGTTTTGGTTTTTCGGTTTGCTGAGGTTTTTTTGTTTTTTTTTTTTTTTTTTTTTTTTTGTGATTTTTTGTTTGGTTTTTTTGTTTGTTGGTTTGTTTTTGTTTGTTTTGTTTTGTTTTTTGGGGGGGTTTTTTGAGTTTCTTTTTTGTTTTGGGGATTTTTTTTGGTGTTTTTTGAGGGTTTTTTGTTAGGCTTTTTTTTTTTTTTTAGTGTTTGGTTTTTTTCGGTTTTATTTTTTCTTGTCTGAAAATTTGCGTGGGGTGGGAAGCGTTTTGAAATAAATTGCGATAAGGCCTGTGATCTCTTACTGACTTGCAGCAGGAGAAATCTTCCTAACTGATATTTACTGCCCAAATCTCAACGAATTAAGTGCAGCCATTAAAAGAAGCTGAACCCAAAGTGATTCACAAAGAACAACGACTCATGCAACCTAAAAAATAACCCAAAAAACAAAAACAAACAATATCCACCGCTCCATTTCCCCGTGCAGCCCCTCCAGAGCAGCCAGAAATGGCGGGCCGGCAGCTCCCCCTCACGTCGGGGCGCGGCGGGGCCGGGCCGGGGGCCGGGCCGGAGCCTTTCCCCGGCCATGGCGGCGAGGGCGGGCCCGGAAGGGGAGCAGCCGCCGCCCGCCTCACTTCCCTGGCTGTCGGGCGGGGCGGCAGCGTGGGCAGTGGGCACCATGCTGCAGTTCTTGGTAAGGCTCTGGGCTCCGAGACGCGGCGCCGCCGCCATGGCGCGGCACCGCACGGCGGGGTGGGGAGGCCGCTGCCCGGCCGAGGGGAAAGGGCGCGGTGTTCGGCCGCACCACGGCCCCGGGTCCGGCCGCACCGCGGCCCCTGTCAGCGGGGCGGCTGCGCCCGGTGTTGGCTCCCCGGCAGCGCCCCATCCTTGGGCGGCTTCCCTTCTCCCGCTCCTTCTGCCGCTCCTTCCCACCCGTCCCCCTTGTTGTCGCAGAACGGTGCCTTAAATCTGCTCTGAAAATGTAGTTCCACGGCTTGTTTTTCCTCCAAGTCGTGCTCTTAATTTGCCTCTGAGATCCTGCTTGCTCACGGTGATGCTCCCCTTGCTGCTCATATTTCTTTGTGTAAGCATAAATGCCTCTCCTTTAGTGAGAGCAGGGGCGTCAGCTCTTGCCGTTTTGTACACCCTTAAAGGTGTACCGCTGCAGATGTGGATTTTTATACATGGAAATTAAAGCAAGGGATCGCGTTTCATTACTGCCCCGAAAACAGCAGAATTATTAAACTGAATGTTAGACTTCATTTTTCGTTGGGGTGAGATAATGCAGCAGGCTAGTGAGTTTCATAGCAGGTGTTGATACAGAGCAAGAAATGATGGCCTGTTGAAAATTGGGATAGTCTTGCCTGTTTTTATATAAAAAATAAATAAATGAGGCCTACTTCTCATCCCAGCTTCATAATAACAAGTGTGAAAGCCTCAGTCATTTCTGTAGCTGTTTATAATCCCCTCTGCACCCCAGTGGAAACCTTCAGTAAGGCTAAATATGGTTAGCCTCTCTCAAAGTATCTGTGTTTATCTGCTCCACTGCTTTCTGCTAATGGGTTTTTTGGGGTTTTTTTTGTTTTCTTTTTGGTTTGTTTTGGGTTCTTTTTTTTTTTGATGTTGCTAGATGAAAATACTTTATAATTACAACTTCTTTTTAGTGTGTGACAGACAAAATATATACTAATTCTGGGTCTTCCCTGCTTGTGCGTAGATTGGATGTTTGACTCTTGCTCTCCCTGGTTAGGGCTGTAGCAGAGAGATAAAGGAATAATCTCACAAACCTTGTGTTTTTGCAGTCCAGAGTTAAGCTTTAAATAAGCCATTTGTTTACAAAGCACCTTGAAATGCTGGGTGGAAATTGGAAGACCCTGAACCCTCATCAGTCCTGTTGTTTTTAGTGAATATGCACATTTTCATTGGCTATGTGTTTTGCTTTCCATATAATTGAAGTCTTAAGTAGTGATCTTTTTTCCCCTCCCCACCGCTGGAATCGTCAGCTCTAAAAATAAATGTAACTGGGTGGATGCAGTGCTGGACTTTCCAATAAAGGAGTACACTTCAAGGGAGTACTGATCTCAGTACTATCTCTACTAAATAAGGGTTGTCTCACAACAGAATATTACATATATTGGAGAGGTTCTAGGGTAAAAGCCGAGAACACTGCTAATAAACAAGGATCTAGTTTGTGCTTCCAGGTGGCTTCCCAGACCCTGCTAAAGATACAGGAAATTCTCCTCTTCTAGAGTGCTACTCTGAATTAAGAGGACCACAGGTCTGGTTTTCATCAGTGCATTGTTTGTTAGTATCTCCCAGAGTACCTACTTAGCTGGTAATTGAAACCACAAGAGCATATGATAACCAGGACAGTGCACACAGGAATTATTAATCTTAAATTGTTAAAGCTAAGTTTAAAAAAGTAATTGTAGGAATATAAGGATATAATAAATATAAGGAACAAGACCAAAAATGGGTTTAATAAAATACTGAAGTAACTTGCAGTCAGAGTTCATTTGACAACTCTCAGCCAATTTTAGTTTTCTATAGATAGATTTTCACCAGTGCTGCTTATGGAGTGTGGATCACAGAAAACATGAGTTGTGCTGGTTTGGGCCTGGAAAAGATGTCTGGTCAGTAAGTGCTAGCGAAGTTGTTTTGTAGACTGTGGTTTTATTTTTCTTAAAATAGTCTTATTTTGACAGCAGTGACCATGAGCAATAACGATTTCTTTAAATAGAACTGTCCTCAGCTGTTACAAGGAGTGATTTGTCTACTGACAATGAAGGAAAGCACAATAATTTATAATAGTGTCCCCTTTCAAAATAGTTAAAGAGTTTTCATGGTATAGGGCAGACTTATTTTGATGTGTAACAACAAAAATAAAATGTAGGATACTGAGCAGTTGCTCAATGAAAATCTCATCACCTGCCTTTGAAGAGAGGAATTTTTTTCACTCTAGAAGTGTTATGCTTGAGGATTTTCCTCAGACAGTCAGACAGGGTCTGGGCCAGGAACTATGCTTGTGTTTTGCTCTTGTTCTGCTTCCAGAATGCATTTTTATGGACACCCTTCGTCAACTATAAGTTTGCACTATAAGTTGTCAGAAGAGGTTGTGCCCAGCTTCCAGCCAACTGTACTGCTTTGGAGGAGCCCCTAGATCAGAGTGGAATTGGCTGACAGCTAATCTCTGGGGGTCAGAAGGGTTTGTCTGGAAGATGCCCAGCTGTTGCTGCAGAAGAGAAGAAGCAGGCTTACATCAGTTTAAGTTCATGTTGTGAAGTTTTGGGGTTTTGTTTTTACTTCATACTAAGACATGTATGTCCCTTTCCAACACTGAGCACTGTTCTAGTGGGGTGTTGTTTTAGGCTTTCCCATCATGGACCAAGAGCTCTGTGATGTGTAGGTCCCTGCTGCTCTCTCCCCATTTTTCTAGGAGTTACTGCCTTTGTGGGTGTGTAGAGAACTGTACAGGGATGAACACAGCTTGATCCAAATAGTCTTGGGGATGTGGATTGAATAACAAAACTGTGTGGTATTTTGGAAATGATGGCAAGGTGTTTCTGGTGAGGAAGATGGGAAAAATAGCACCTCTCTGGATGAAAGATGAGAAATTATGTAGGAGTGGAAACTCATTAAATAACTTGCAATATCCCTTTTTCTTTATTTTAGCCAATAAGCTTTTGATGGAAGGATGTTAACTCTTCTCCCTTTCTTCCTTTTTAGCTTGGTTTTACTCTTGGCAATGTGGTTGGGATGTATCTGGCTCAGAACTATGATGTGAGTATCCTGCTGTTCTCAGAGATAAACCTGTCCTGAACTGAAAATATATGACCATTTTTCCTCAATTAGAATTGAATCAGTCTTTATTTTGATGGTTTATATTATTGAGCAGAATGCAGATCATGCTGACTTGAGTTACAGGAGAACTGAGACTTTTTCAGGAAGAATTACCTCACTGAAAGAGTGGTCAGCCATTGGAGCAGGCTGCACAGGGAAGTGATGGAGTTACCATCCCTGGAGGTGTTCACGGAATGATGCACTTAATGCTCTGGTCTAGTTAACAAAGTGGTGATTGTTCAAAGGTTGGACTCTGTGATCTTGTAGAACTTTTTCAACCTTAACTGCAAAAAAAAAAAAAAAAAAAAAAAAAAAAGTGTAACGAAAACATCATCTGTGGTAGTGTAGTGCTTAAAGCCTAAACTTCTGTTCAGTCCTAGAGCCCAGCCTTCTACAGGCAAAGACAGGAGAAACTGAAAAGGTTTATCAATTGCTCATGAATTTTACCAGCACTAAATACTGGTTTCCTGTCTAGGATAGCCTGTCTTCTTACAGTGTTCTCCACTCAGTATGACTGTTAATAAAAATCCTCAAAGCAAAGCATGTGAAATGTCTTTCTTCTGGACCTATACGGAAAATAAGTTTTGCCAGCTTTTTTTTGTAAATGTGATGCTTTCTCCTACCTCAAAAATGTATTGACCTGCATTCTTTTTTTCCTTCTTTTCTTACAGTGAGAAAAGAAAGAGAACTTTCTTTTTTCAGATCTCAGTTAACAGTTTTCAGTGTGAGAGGGCAGAGGAAAAAGATTTCAAGCTGAGCCTTCAAAACATGCTTTTACTTTCTGCTGAGTCAGCAGAATCCCTTGTAAGAGCAGTGCCACTGTAGTTACTGGCTAGAGGAGTTAATAACATTTTACATACAAATCTTTTAAAATTCTTAGGCAGTCTGTATTAGCCTTAATAAAAAACCAAAGTTTTTGAGGCTCTGGTGGAATTTATGTTTTGCTTTCCTTTAATCTTCAGTATTGAAATCATCTTGCTTAGAAAAAATGTTATAGTTTGCTCTTTGTTTATGCACAAATATGGGTGTTTTTTCCTGTCAGTCAGTCCAGTAAAAGGAGTAATGAAAGTCTGGTGTTTCTGTGCAATACATGTTTTACAGTGTTACAAAAATGTAGTCAGAAGAATATATTTGGATGTATCAATATGTATCACAAGCATTGTATGGTGCTTTTCTGGCAGCACTGATAAAGTATTGCCACAAGAGGGAGACTCAGGCTTTTGATTTGCTGAATGTAGTTCCCTGGAAATGCAACACTGACTTGCAGGATGAAATGGAAATTTTACTGCTGGTGTTGGAGAAGATTGGTTTGAGGTGACATTTAATATAAGCTTGTCATAATGAGGTCCTAATTCTGCAGCTGTACACACAATGTGCTTAGTAATAAGTACTTGGAGGGTTCTGCTGACAGTGGTGGAGTTCTCTTGATTTTGTTTAAATGTCAGACGTGTTACAGGCTGGGCTCTTAATTTCATTTGCTCAAACAGCTTAATTTTGAAAAGGAAGGTTAGATGAACTTGTTACCAGTTCTGTGAGCCTCAGACCATTCAATAAAAGAACTGCATTCTGTTTGGATTAGCTTCTGCTCTGTGGTCAGGTTACATATGGAGTAAAAACCCAGGATTTTTTTTTCACAGCTAAGAGTGGAAAATTTGCTTTAATTTTGTTTTAATCATACATTATTTTGTAAAATCATATATTATCACTTCCCAGTTTTAGCTAGTCATAATCTTTTCTTTGCTATTAAGAGGTTCAGCTTTTTTTCCCTTTCAAGTTATCAAAATTTACTGTTGGACTATTTTATCAAAATTATTTTATTTGTAAGAGAGAGCTGAAGATTTGGAGCTCACAAGCAGTAAATTGAATTTTCATTCAAGTGTGAAACTGCAATAGGGTGCCAATTTGCAAATTCCCAGTGAGGAATTTGGTTTCCCACAAGATGAACCAGGAGAAATATTTCTTAGTAAATTTCTTGGGAAGATATTTTATGCTCTTGAACATCTCTTTTCCCTTGGGTTATGAGTAGTATAGTGCAATCTAATTTCCATTCGAAAGCCTGTGCATCAGTGTTTAAATCTGCTTATTCTTGACAGTTTGTCTTCTTTCAGTCAGGAAGCCAGACTGGTCATGCTAAATTTCCTGTAAGGTGATCCTTTTTCCTTCCTCCTCTTCCCATCACCACTGACTTACAGACTTAATAATCTAAGTATTTCCTGAAGCCTCATGTGAGGTGCTCTCATCTGCTGTTTGCCTGATACTGCTTAGATTTAATCTCTATGCAAGGTAACAGATACTGGAAATATATTTTGAAAACCAGTTTAAACTGTATGGAATTTCTTGCTGTGTGTATGGTATTGTCTTTCCTGATGAAACTCACATAGCCCAGGATTTTTTGTTGTGTGGAGTTTGAGTGTTTTGTTTTTTCTTTAAAGATTCCTAACATTGCAAAGAAGTTGGAAGATTTTAAGAAGGATGTGGAAGCCAAGAAGAAACCTCCTAATGACAAGTCCTGAAAGAGCAATGTTTCCCAGGTCAATTCTGTGTGTGCACCAAGGATGCAATTTACCTTTCAGGCAGCAAAGGTCAAGTAGAGGGTTGGCATGGGAGGTTGCTCCACTCTTAGACTCCTAGAACTGGAATATCCTTCTTTTGAAAGGGCGGCTGTGAACTTTTCCTGGGACTGATTTTCAAGGGTTTCAGAATTTTGATTTGCCACTGTTGCGTGACTGGATGATCTCATTTGTATTTTTCAGTATTTCTTTTCCTAATATTTTGTAACCTGTTTTTACCTGATCCAACTGGAGTGCTTTTGGTCCTGTTACAATTATAACCTCACACTTGATAATACCCTAGCTCTTAGAACAGCACAAAAGAAATTAAATGCATCAAGAAGTAACTTTCAGAGTTTCTTGTCATTTGTTGTGAGCAGTGTTACTTTACTATCCTTAAACCACACACACAAGTAAAGCAAAAAAGCAGCCATTAAAACCCCTGGTGTGTGAGAAAACACACATCCATTGTAGAACTCTTGTCTTCTGCTTGAAACCATAATTCTGCAAAAATCCTGTTGTAAATTCTGAAAAAAAAGTTGCAACGATTTCAGGAGATGTCAATTTTATTAATTCAAAAATCTATCAAGTATTTTTTTCCCTTAAAATGGAAGAGGTCTATCAATTCTGTAACATGGCTTAAATGACAGAGTCCCCTTGACAGTTTTTTGCAGGATGTGAAGAACACAGAAAAGTGCCAGGAAGATGTTTTTGCTCTTATTGAGAATGCCTGGTGATGAAGTGCTCCAGAGAAGCACAGAGAATGATCTCCATTTGTTCAGGCTCTAGATTAAAGCATACCTAGAGTGCTTCTCCATTAATGTTTTAATTAGGATGAGGATTGTGCCTTCAAAGTGGTTTGTCCTTTTACTATGTTTTCATTCTCATCATAGGAAAACCCATAGAGCATGGGTCCCTATTTGTCTCAGAAGAGACTAAATCAGAAGATGTACTTTGATCTCTGATGGGTGTTTAGTCCATTAGACAGGTCTAGGGGCACTCAGAAGGAAAAGAACTAAGCTCTGGGCACCAACTGTATTGCTTTGTCAGTGAAATGTACTGTTAAATCAAAGCTTTAAAGTACAGAACTCTCTATGTACCCATGGTAATTTTCACTCTCTACCCCAAAACCTTTAATTTTTGATATGTCTGAGTGGACTCCCAAGTTCAGGAGTTCTCATTGGATCAGTAAAGGCACATTTATAGTGTACTATACACTAAACACTTGCATCCTTTACCAAAGTTTGGTGGTGACATTGTTCTTCCACAATGCATTCCTGAAACAGGAAAGTATTACTCATGCGAAGATTCTCCTTCTTAAGCAATATAAATATATACAAGGAATATTTCACCTGTGATTTTAAATCCTTCCTTTCACCTCTGTCCTGAAATGTGTAGCTGACATAAAAGTTTTCAGTCTTTGCAAAAGGTTATTTGAGAAGTTTAAAAGCCAGCTCAAGTCAGACAATCTTAGTAGTGATGCAACCAATTTTCTCCACAGGAACCACTCCAAGAAACTCTGACAGGGAGAAACGGTTGTACCACCTGAACCCAGCTATCAGAAGCCCTGTGGTAGCAGCATGTGTGGAAGATATCCAAAGAGATTTCCATTATCTTCAGACTTCAGACCTGACTGAGAATTTTCTTCCATGCCCAGAAATGTTTCCCTAGAGTGATAGTGCTGCACAGCTGTTTTGATGTTTTCATGAACATGATGAACTTAAGTTTCCCTCAACTTCCTCTCCCTCCCCTTCGTTTCCTATTCTTGAGCATTGAAAAACACTGTCTCTAGCCCATTCATTTTTCTTTGCTGGCTATGTAAAATTATATTAGTGTTTAAAATTGGATTATTTCTTTGCTCAAACGTACTTTATTGTTCTTCCCTTTCTTTACATGGGGATGAGAAGTGAGATAATGTTAAAAATCTCTGTATTTGTTGCCAAGCATGCCAGATACTCTAAAAGTGTTTTTGGAGCTTTTCAGCTAAGCATTCCAAGCAGATGTTAGAATTGTTTTTTTTGGTTTTTTTTTTTTTTTTCCTAGCATATTAGTAAGTGAAAAGCTGCAGATGTAATGCTGTGGAAACAATATATGCTCATTAGTATTAAAGACAGGATTTCTGAGGTGTTTCACACTGTTAGCAAAACTTTCCATTTTGGCTCAAGCTGGGTTTTTTCCTCCCACGTAGTAAGCTGTAAATCTGGATAACATTATAACACAGCTGATAGGACTTGGCAACTTCTTAATAACACATTTTACCTAGCCTGAGGTTGTTCTAGGTGATACTAAAATTTGACCTTACCTTTCAGAGGGTGAGCACAGATAATGAGTGCTTGGTGCAGGTCTTGCATCTGGTGGCTCAGAATGCTTTGGATGCACTAGTGTCATAGCAGGGCACAAAAGATGGATGCTCCATGAAGTTAACCAGGAGCAAGTTTCCCACTTAACATGGACTCTGTGAATGTCCACTTCAAATGCCTGTGTGGGTAGCTAAAATTGCCAGCTAAAATGTGCAGGCTTCCTTCCTTTCCTGAAAACAGTTGTGTTCATGTATTGATTGTTTTGAGAGATATTCTGGAGCTGAAGGTTCAAGGCAAAATGGGAGGAAAGGAATATATGAGCTACTGACAGACTTCTAAAACATTTACTGTGGGTTGAGAGTATTATCCTGTGCTGGAAAATGCTGCCCTAAAGCTCTTCTGCCATTAACCAGTCAAGGGTTAATAACAAAAATAAACAAAAAGCCAGACAGCAAAGCTAATTGGGTGCCAGAACCCAAATAAAGTTGGTGGATGCACCTCACAAAACTTCACTAACATGAATGTTCATTGGTTTTACATCCCAAAACCACAGCCCACTACCTCATGCATCTACCTGGTGGGATATGGCAGTGGCGAGTGCCAGCAGCTGTGAATGTGGAAGCATGCCAAGAGCACCAAAACAGGAGGAACAGTCTGTTGGAGCAAGTCCTTGCCTGAGGCCACTCCAAATGCCTCTGTACCAATCTCAGAGACACGAGTTACACCAGAGCCTCCTGGAAACTCTTCTGAAGAAATATTGTTTGAGATGTGCAAGAGCACCGAGCCATTTCATTTACCTACTGCTATTGCTGTTCTTACTGAAGAGCACTGCTGGGCACCCTGTTTGATTTGTGAGTAATCCCAGGTCTCCCTAAGGCTGGATGGAATGCTAGCTGCTGGTCTCTCACAAATGAGAACATCCCGTGTTCATATCCCCTGGGAAATCTCTGGAATAGCAAGATGTGGTGGGAGCTGAGCAGAGCTGAGAAATCAGCATTAGGAGGGCAGAGAGTGATTTGTTGCTGAGCAGCAAAGCAATTGGAAGATGCTGGTGGATGAAGCGTGAAGTGAAAAGGATTAGAAGATGAGTGCAAGTGAAAGGTGCAGAGCAGCTAAAGCCTTGGGAAGGAAGCAGCCAGAAAGTGTCTTGGCGGGGGGGAATGATCAAAGGTAACTTTAGGCACTGTGAACAAAGAGATGTTCTGCTTGCTGTGTGTAGGGACAAAACTGTTGGTATTGCAGACATGCCCACCCACTCTAGTGCTTGTCCTGGAGGAAGTTGCCCATGTTGGTGAACAGACATTGCAGCCCTTCCTCTCCTGCTCCTGGGGCTTTAGGATGGAGCTCCTGTCAGGGGAGGCTAGCGTGCCTCTGCTTTGAGCAGCATTTTGGGGTCCCTGTTCAGAGCAGCCTCTTCTGAGGAGCAGGAAAACACCCTGAGCAGGGAGGGGAGCAGAAAGGATGAGGAGGCTCTGCATGCCCTGAGCTTTGGGTGCTGGCAGCAGGCTCAGGGTGAGGGAAGCACAAGAACAGGTGAGCTGGGAGAAGAGTTGAAAAAGTGAGGCTGAGGTCTTGTTTTATGCATCAAGGATCATGGGTATGCTTTAAGTGACAGATGCACCTAAACACTTTGCTATTCAAAATGAAATTTACAGGAACTACCAGGAATAGCAAAATAGTTTTGCTAAAGGATACAGCTTCCTGCTTTTGGAACAAGGGCTAAGACATGCTTTTTGGTTTTTTCCCATATTTCTCCCTTCTGCCAGCATGAGACCTTTTATTGTACCTGTTTATTTCCAAGATGAGTCTGTGGGATCCATGTGTTTTGACAGAAGCAGTAAACCAAAACCTGCTGCTGTCTCAACACTGCTTCTCTAAGGTTTTGCTGGGTTATGGGTGAAATATATCCAATTTGTATGCTCATGGAGCACCAGAATGTGCAGTAGTGAATAATTTATTTTATTGACATTTTATTTTTGCAGAATACATTCACATCAAGAGAGCCTAGATTAAAAGTGGAAAGCATAAAAATTCATTAAAGTGTATGTGTGATTACATGAGAGTCAATCATTCTAATATACAGTTTCAATGTATTGACATTAAAGAAATTATTAAAAACTAGACATAATACATGAGAAGACTTAATGAGTGTCACAGAGATCCAGTGAGGAAAGCAGGGCATTCAGTTTATTGATAAGAGATAAAGAGATTGGCCTTTTAGCTTGATAGTTATTTACTTTATGCCACAGTTTCCTACATTTGAAGTTCCTGCTCTCTGGGCTGCTAGAGAGCAGGGGATGTGAGATTCAAGTGAAGGCACACGATGGGGAGATACACCAGCACCACTCCACTTCAGCCCTCTCCCTTCTTACTGGAGCAGCACTGAGTGCCATCAGGAATGAGACTTTCTCAGGCAGGGAATCATCAGTGCATAATTAAACAGCAGCCAAAGAGACAGGAGAGTGATAGGGGTTGTTTGCCTGATATGGTTTTGCTGGTAACAGCTTCCCCTGCTGAAAGAACTCCCACTGCGGTAATGATGAAGAAGGTCTTGAACAAAACTTTCTGTTTCTGAAACTCTTCCTTCCAAAGCTGAGACTGCAAGTACTGCAATACTGGAAATTTATTTATTAGTGCTATGTGGAAAAAACCCCATATTCTCCTTGCAAGGAGATTTCTCCTTCCTCTCGAGGTTTCTATTATCCCTTTGAAGCACTGTACTGGTAGTTGGTAGCTGGATTTCTGTCCAGGTCATATAAGTTAGGTGGAAAAATGGTGTTTGCAAAACAATGATGACTCATCTCAAAAAACCAAGAAAAATTAGCCTTCAAAAGAAGTAGGCTTATAAAACTCTTCTGGGTTTGGGAGTAAGGCTCACCCTACCTTCAGTGTAGGAGTCAATAGTAGGACTGAATCTGCTGCTGCTAAGTACAGCAGTGTATGTGTACTTGTCTGGAGTCCTGCATACAAGTCCTACCTAACTCCTCTAAGGCATGAAAAAGCTACAGGGAAATAACTTGGAGGAGTGAATTTTGGAGGAGTTATGGTATCCCAGAGAAAGCAACAATAGAGCAAAGCTAATCTCTCCTTTTAACTCACGCTGATTTTCAGAACTGAAAAGCTGTTGGAGAAGACCTCCCAGTGGATTTTCTTCAGTTTTACAGCAGATCCTGATTCACGCTTCCTTCTTTCATATGTGAAATGAAGGTTCAATATTTTGTCCCAGCTTGCTTTGGTCTTGCACTTTTGCTCTTTTTTTAATTGAAGATTACGTTTGGCTTGTGATGTTGCTGACTGCTGCCCATTCTGGAAAGGTGTTCAGCTGGAAGAGCCTAATTCCCCACGTGTTGATGGCCACCATGACAACAGCCAGGCCAATCAGATTTACACCCAGGCCAGCTTTCACCTGCAAAAGCAAAAGCATCAGAGCAACTTAATGAAACCAATTAACATAGGGAAAAAAAAAAAAAAAGCAGTGGTATTTATACTGACTCGTATAGAGTGTGATAATTTATGTATAGTGATTTCTAGAGGAAAAAAAGCATAAATGAGAGTGTATGTGTCAGGGTATATGTTGGAGTATTTGGGAATGAATATTCAGGTTAGAGACTGATGCAATTAATTGTGAACTGCTTAGTTTGTCACTTGGACTTCTCAATCAGATAATCAGAATGGGGAGTTAAACCACATAACAGAGTGATACATGACTTGCTGTGGAGCTACATGATAAATCTAATTTCTTATGCTCTCTTGTGCTTGTTTTAGTAGGTCAGAGCAAACAGGACTGTATACTCCTAAAGCTCTTTGGACCATTACATTTATTAAAAAAATACAAATAAGAAGTGTGTGCATCCTACAGCAGATCTGTGGTTGTTCTTAATCAGACAGCTCTATTGCGTAAGAGCAGTTCAGACATCACTACTTAATATTAGCAGCAATATAGTAATTATTGCATCAATGCTATTATTATTATTATTATTATCATCATCATCATCATCATCATCATCTTGATGTGGGATTAGGTGCTGGAGTTGCATGAAGCATGGGAGGATGTACCCAGTGCCAAGACTCACCATATCTTTGATCTGGCAGTGCCCATAACTGAAGACAATGGCATTTGGAGGGTTACCCACGGGCAGCATCACCGCAAATGAGATGCACATGGTAACAGGAATCAGGGTGTATAAAGGGTTGATAAGCAGGGTTTCTGACTGGAAGAACAGAAGGAGAGAGGTGTTTCACCTGATCAATAAAAGTCACAGCTGGCAATGACTATGAAAGGACCCTCTCTGCTGAATCACACCTGCCTAATTTCTAAACTTAAGCATGAAAGTATTTTTTGGTTGGTTGGATTTTTTAGAGCAATGCCATAATTTTGAGCTGGTCATGCTCCAGGGATCTCTCTTGAGACATTTCACACTGAGGGAGGGTGGAGTTTGCTACTATTAGGACATGTTTGCTCTTTCTCTCACTTGTTCTCTGTGTCATTCTGTTTTGTGTCTTGTGGACCTTAACACTGACTGCTGCTTCACTCTTCATCCGTGAGAAGTCACAACAGGTTAACACAAAGAACTTGCTTCTTCCAGTTGCTGAATATGCTGAGACCATTATGTGATGTCCTCTGAATACTAGTTAAGAGAACCAGCTGTTCATGATCCAATTTGCATGGTGAGAAGGCAGAGATGATGGAATATTTTTTACAGTGTGCTAAAGATGCAGTTTTCAGTGGTGATAAAATTTTCCATTTTCATTGCTTTGGCCAAGTTTTATATGAGAGGGAAAGGGAAGGATAAACAGGGCTACTATCATTTTGGGGAGGGAAGTGTCTCCAGGTTACTTTTGCAATCTGAAAAGAGTCTGCCTTAAGATGGCAGTTCACACTACAAGTAGATTACTGCTCTAAATATTTTTCAGGAGAATCTCTTTCTGCATGGAGCAGAAGCATATCTGAACTACTGAGCCACAGAAACACAATTACATATTGTGATCTGACCACATCTTAATATTAACTCAGAACTGTTCTCATAATGTGCTTTGGGACAATCTCATAACATAGTTATAATAGGGAAAGATGATTAACAACCTCCATTCTTGGACAGAAAAGTTTCACATGACATTAAAAAAAAAAAAAAAAAAAGGAAATTTTCTGTAACTGCTATTCCAATATAAAATTAAATTACTCTGTCTTTCTTCTACCTTTGTCAATAGCATCCTGATTTTTTTCTGACTCTTACAAACATCTCTGCTTTCCATGGTGGAATACAGTATGTTTTACCAGATCAACCCCTTGAACACTTCTAAATCTGAAATAAAATTCAGCACTCCAGTCTTTTCTTACAAGTAGGGAGCAGGTGACTACTAAGTAGTGAACAACACATTTAAAGTAACATTGGCAAAAGCATCTCATGCTTCATGTGAAATTCACCTAACTTGTTAATTCCATAGTCACCTTTTCTTATAAATTCCATGATGCTAAAATATGCTTTTGGCTGCCCAATTATGTTTTTGTTCCTAGTTTCAAGACTACAGAACAGTAGCTTGGGAACTGAGGCTGGGTTTCATGTGGACAGAGTGCCAAGACCCTGACATCCTGAAAATTCCCACAAGCCTGTGAGGAAAAAACAGACTGAAAATATCACTATTTTAACTCACCATACTGCATAAAATAGGCAGAAAGATGGTTATGGTTGCTGGATTACTAACAAATTCTGTTACCATGGACACCAAAATGCAAGCCAGCAGAGTTACAGCCCAGGAGGGAAGGCTACTCAGGGAGAGCATTTGACGTCCAATCCATGTAGAGAGGCCAGAGGTCTGGGGAAAGGACAGAAGCACAAGAATTACTAAATATTTGGTATGTTTGTCAAACAGATTCTTCTTTCCGTGGCAGTTTACATCAGAGCATCCCACCAGCAAATAAACAAAGTTCAGGACAATGCTTTCTGCATTTCCTTTTGCTCAATAAACTAAATTTTACTGCAGTGTTTAATAAATAGCAAGAAAGACATATATTGAGTGCAGGGAGTGCTGCCTACTGCATTATGTACAAAATTTAAAGTATCCACATCATAAATCCAAATTGGGGAGCATACAAAGGAATAAAAGGTCAATAATATGTTTAGGAAGGAGGATAAAAAAAAAAATCTACACCAGTACCTTACATCCAGCTGCTAAGGCATAACCTCCTCCAACCAACACTACAATCTCCCAGGGCATGGTCCTCTGAAAGTCCTTCCAGGTAATGATGGGCTTCAGTGTGTTAATTTCTGTTGACTTTTCACCATCGCCTATATGAAATAAAGTGTATGACCAGTATTTACTGCCCTTTTTGCAAAGACTTTCACATTTTTGACAAGAATAGAAATGATTGAAGATGCATGGGACTATCTGAGAGAGAGGCAAAGAGGCATAGCCTGTTTCTCTGGATAGCCTGGTCTCAAAAAATGCAGTGTATTAATTCCAAACATCCTGACTTTCCCTTGGCTGCTCTGTTAATGTAAATAGCTGTAAACCCCTGTGTTCTCATGTTACAGCTTTTTGAGGGACTGTGTGCTGTGTTGTGATATGCATGTGCATATATCTGTAGACCACAGAGATGGTGTTACAATGGGATTATGTTATCAAAGAAAGGCTATGAAGTAGGCCATGATGCTGGATAAAGGACATTTAGGCCCCTAGATTTCATCTGAGGACATTAGGGTTTTTTTAGGGTCTGAGTATTTTCTAAAAGGAGGAGTGTCATATTTTCCTAAAACCTGTACAAAATATGACAGCATAAAAATATATGTTTCTATATATTTATAATCTTTACATAAGACTGTGCAGACAATTCTACTGTCATACAGCACTGCAGAAAGACTGGTGCAGCAAACTGATCAAACCGCTGATTGCTACCCAAACACAAATGTGAAATAATCTCATTATCAAGAAGACTGTGAGAGAAGCATTCCACAAAATTGGAACATTGTCTGGCACTCTATGATGTCTTTAATATTTATCTTAAGATATTACAGTGACTTCCACTGTATAAGTGATGACTAATTTTTTTACTGGGGTTTATCTTGAGCTGATTTTGCATTATAGTTTTTTAATATGGAACTCCATCTAAACCTTTCTTAAAGCTCAGTCCTCAGTCCTAAAGTCTAATTACTCTGCTAGCACAGAAGAGGTGGCAGTCGCAGATTCAAGACCTGTTTGTCATCCTCTGGATGAGACAATATGAATTATGGCAAAGGAAAAAGGGATGTGATGTAGGATGGGCTGGTATCAGAGGAGAAGATGAACCTTGACTTTCCAACATAAAAGTATCTTCTTGGAATTTTTACGGACAAAAAACCCGCAAAAAACAAACAACTAGTCATTGAAAAATGTACCAGTTCTCTTTCTTACTGCAATCTCCTCACCTTTTCTCCTTTTTCCAAAACACGGCTTTTTTGCTGGAATCAAGAAAAGGAGAAACCCAAGAAATACAGAGACAGTGGCGTCAGTCCGGTAACCTTTCCTAAGAAATAAATAGCAATGTTTTCATAAAAAGCATTAACAGAAACATTGCCAAACCAGGTACATAGCTCCAAGCACATTTCTGCAGGTACAGTTGTATTCCCTCATCTGAAGTCATACTAACAGCCTACTAGAAAAATATGCCTGCATATCAAGGGTACAAATTGGATTTTTTTCCATTTATTAAACTGACTCTGGTAGGCAACTTCAGTCACAGCTCAACAATTTTAAATATTCTGATTGAAAAAAAAATCCCTTTTGGTTTACAAATCTATTAACTTGGAGGTACAAAAAAATAGTGTGTTTACTGTAGTAACACATTCTAGGGAAAAGCCAAACCCAGGTGATCCTTTAGAAATGAACTGTAGATTGATTTTAAATTAAATGTTTAAAACTCTTTCTGCAAAAATATTCTGAAGAGTACCAAACTCCAGTGATCATCAGAAAATCACAGTATTAGAAATTGTTTTTCTGTCAAAATTTGAATGAAAACTTAAAGTAATTTTATATAGTGGCAGTATAAAGAAAACTTACATTCAAATCCCTTATTCTTTGATGTGCAAAGTGTGTTATAGTAAGCTTTAATATAATTTGTTTCAATATTATTTAAAATAAAAGAAAAATTATTTGCTTTAGTCACTATTCTCAGCAATATTTAATTGAATGGACAATTTCTTGATAAAACACTTTGTCAAAAATTTTAATTTCAATTATCACTGCAATATATTCTAGTGAAAACTTCTTTATGAATGCACTAAAATGTTTTAAGCTCAAAATTTGTCCCTCCTATTCTTTTACATTTGAAATGGTTTCATTTACTTTCTCTACTTAATTCACTTTGAATACTGAGAAAGAATGGAATTTTTCACTATACAAAAAAATATGATTTAAGAAAAAAAATTCCTAATTTTTGAATAAAGACTCCATTTTTCACTGCCTTGTTAAATGTGTCTGATGATGTCTAAGCAGGAAAAAATTGTTGTAGAAAGTCATGAGAAGCAAAGTTGTATTCCTGTGCAGTAATTATGGGGATTTTACTCACTTCTCAAAAAAAGATGACCATCCTGGTACAAAGCCAGGCTCACGAGTGAACCAAAGCAAGGTCATCAGGATGAAGAAGAATCCAGTCACCATCTCGGGATAGCTAGAAATAAAAAACAGAGAAAGCAAGGAAGTAATTCCAAGGTCTGTCTGAAAACTCAAGAGCAAGTTCCAGAAGAAGTAAGAAAGTAGAAACTGGCTTCAAAAAAGGATAAAAAGCATATGAAAAATAGCAAGGAAGATTAGTTTGAATTAAAGAATTCTAGATTTGGCTCCCAGCTGGGAACCATCTAAACCCAGTAAGAAATAGGCTAAAAATATCCATCTGTATTTGCAATGCTATCATTCATGGGCAAGACCTGAAGGAAAATATTTCTAAATGCTTGTTTTATATTTGCATTATTATCTGATTAAATGTGTTAACAAAGTGAAGTTCATAGTAGCATTCCACTTTAAACACATTCTCTTGCATATTTTAGAAGGATAGAAAGCCTAAGAGCAAATGACAAATTAGCACAGATGGTGCACACAAGGTGACTTGAGGATACTTGAGGTGGCTTGAGGATTTTTAATTTAGCATAGATTTAAATTAAGAGTGATTTCATTTTTAGGTACAGCCTGAAAAACAGTTTAGTTTCAGAGTTTATTGTATTCAGGCAGTTGATCTGTCAATATTTCAGTCAAACAGCACAAAAATGTTTTGTGAAGAAGGAATTCTGTGCCATATCAGCCCTTTTGAAAATGAAAATGTTGCCAAATAATCTTTTCAAGATTTTCTTGCCATCGTGCATAAATAGCATGGGCAACTGGGAAAGTTGGACAACCCATGGCATAGGAAAAAGCCTTTTTTGAACTTATATCCACTAAAATAAGTATGATTCTGAATTAGGAGAAGGGGTCCTTTAGGGTTCAAAGACAAACCTGGAATAAACTCAAATCTTTCCTTTCTTTTCCCTTTTTCCTCAGAAATAAATGAGTTGCATGTTAGCACACATGCTTGTAACAAAGTCTTTGATTTTAGTTCATTTTTGCATTTTGTTCTATTTCTATACTGGAGAGGAGGAAAGAGAGCTGATAGTTTTAGAATAAGCTACATGAGCCCAAGGCAACATGGAGGGCAGTAGGAGACAATGAGAGACAAATTCCCAAGGAAGGCAAGTCTGGTTTACCTAACATTTCCCAGTTTCTTGTATTCCTCTTGAATTCTTCTCTCTGACATTTCTTCCCGTTTGGTCTTCTTCTTTTTGCTCACAGAACAAGTCTCTTTAAAACTGAGATAGCACAATAAAATTAGGCAAGGGCATAATGAAGGGGGGGGAAGTAATTAAAAAAAAAAAACCCCAGCAATGGGGTAGACTGAAAATTCTGGTATCAGGGACTGTTGGGAGAAGATGTGACTGAAGCAAGGTGTGATGGCAACGGGAAAGGAAAATACTGCGTGTGCTATTTCATTAATCTGGTTTCAAGTTCTTGTAAGATTCAATTCTAGACATAGTTGGAAGGTCCCCAGGGTGCTCTGACTACTACCAATTGGTATCACTGAGCCATCTTGAGCCATAGCTGGGCTCCCTCAACGTAGGCTCCCTCAAAGAGCTGCCAGAAACCTCCCAAAGCTACAGCTAGTGTCTATCATCACGTGGAGAGATTGTGACAGAGGTCAGCTATCAATAGAAATGTTTCATGGGCTAACTATGCTTTCCTGGATCAGGGTTATCCAACATATTTGGGGTCTGCTCTGGCTTTTGAGACCATATTTGCTTTGAATATTCAGGATTCATAATGAGGGAAAGCTGTGCTTGGGATCCCATTAGCTGCCATGAGATCTGTCTGCTTCTGCTCATACTGTCACAATAACATTTGTTTATAAATCAGGCACAGCCAGAAAAGCACCACAGTGGCCAGGGGAGTTAGCCTGGTGTTTTGTCCAGGTGAAAAATGCCTGTACTTCTGCTAGGAACATGAAAACATGTTTCCTAGCTGGATATATTGAGCCTCCTATACACTTGTATGGATGTTAAGTGAATCCCATAGTTTATTCAGTTTTCCTTCATTCTGTAAGAAAGCATGGACATTCTTAATTGAAATTAAGATGCTTTCAAGCTCACTTTAACCCTCTCCTGTTCTTCTTTCCAGAAGTGTTACCTAGCTGTGTTTTGAGCCACAGATTCCTCCTTTTTCACTCCAGCTGTACCCTCTGTCACACAGAGGTGTAACAGGATCTAAGCCAGTCTACAAGACACAGCAGCAGTGACGCAGGCACCACGGCAGCACAACTTTTATAGTTCTTTAAGGTGATAATAAGTGCTTTTATGGTTCCTGCTATTTCAATATCTCATTGGGTACCTCACTAGGCACCCAAGCTGTAGCACTGGCCAAACCATGGACTGCAATCTCCCTCAGTGTATCTGCTTAAGGCCAGACTCACAAAGGAATTCGCATTGCTCAAGATCTAGACAGGCCCTGCCTGGCCAACAGAAGGACTTAACCAGGGGTTGCATTTCACATGGGCAAATATGTAACAGGTTTTTTTAGCTCACTTAGAGTTGCTCTTCATCTATAGATATTTTAAATTTCCTTGCAAATCTTGCTGTTAGACTTTAGTAAAATCTACCAGTAGGGAGGGATGAGGCTGGAAGAGCCCTCCAGGCTGGAAGAGAAGAGCTATATGGTTTATAAGGGGCAGTTCTGTAGTAACTTCCACCCTTAGCTCTTCTTTGCTGGCAATGATCCTTTGATGAGTCCATTCTCTTTCACCCTTGACCTGGTCTAGGGCCTTAAAATCTGAAATGCTATTCCAGCTAAACCAAGCAATAACAGATTGATGGCACAGGGCTTCCTAGGAAAATAACATTACAGGAATTTATTAAACATTTATGCAGAAGCATTAGGCAGCTGTTTCAACATATTCCAAGTGTTTCCAGGCTCAGGAGGATGTGAAGGCAGAGAATTGAAACCCAGTTCCCAACATAATATGTTCTTTAATGAAGTGCAGTGAATAGAAGTCAGAGATTAAGGAATCAACTAGTACTTCTCAAAAAGTCAATAATGCTTTAGTCTCTGGTATTATTTAGAACAACATTAATCAGCATGAAGTCTTGGATGCAACGTGGAATTTCAATTTTTTTCCAAACCAAATTAATTGAGGGTCATGTTAGGACCTGTTTCTTCTCAAGATTAAAAAAAGTGTGGCAGAGGGAATTTATATTAGCCTTTTAATGGAGCCATTCACCTCTAAATTACTTCTTCAAATCTAGTCAAGGTCAGCAGCAAGCAGAACTCATTATCAATTTATTCATTGTCCTGGGTGAAGTAATGATGTCAATTCAGTTTACTTTTAAGAGTGAACTAAATCAAATTAAGCAAATTTAATTCAGGGTAAATGTGTCTGCATCACAATTCAATGCAGATTAACAAAGTCATTCTAAATGCACACATTTGGCAGTTTTCATTAACTTTGTAAAGACAATATGTGGTACAAATGGACTAGAAGACTGAAACTTTTTCTTATTTTGGGGCTTAGGGACTGGTATTAAATGTATTTGTCTCTTGGGCTGTGAGTCCCACCTTAAAGAGAAATATATATGGAGTCTATTTACCTTTAGTTTTGATTGGTTTTATGTTAATTTAATTGAACTGGAGGCAGATCTGAAAAGTAACTTGTTTACTTGCAGTTTTTTTCTATTAATCTTTTAAACTGTGCTTTTCCGAAAGGACTTATAACAAGATATTTGGTCCACAAGGGAATCTTCATTGTCATAAGAGTGAAAAAAACCCCAAACCAGTTGAATGCTTAGTATGGATTTCCATCAGCAATACCCGGGCACTTCAATCTCAAGCAGCAAGACTCTACACTGCTGTCTATTCAGGGCAGTTAAACAGTGAGATTTCCCCTGGTAATTGTTCTGGCAAGAAGAAGGAAATTGTGCCTTAAATTTTGTCATTTGCCAGTCAAAACTTCTTTATGAGAACGTTTGAGAGGAGCTGCAGATGCCCTGCTTTTGTAATCTGTATGTCTTGAACAACTTTCACTCACTTGCAGCCCAAGAACAGCCAGTGCAGCCAGAACCAAGTCAGCATCAACATGATGAGGGAGATGGGGAAACTGAACAGAAACCAGGTTCCAAAATTCACCACTTCAGCTTTTGGGTACTGGCTGTAAATTAAAAAAGAGGATTCGTGAGAAGTTAGAACAGTACAGGGACAGGGACCTCCAACAGATGTAGTTGCAAACACATCTATGGGCATATTTATCTGTCATGGGGTGAGAGAAAAATTCCATCAGTTTGCATTTTCAAACAGCTGCATTACCTGTGCAGAGTGAAACCAACAGACAAACAGTGTAGCTCTCCAAACCTTTAACACCAGATGGTCTAGATTGTCTGGCCAGCTTCAAAAAGACTTGGAGATACCTGAAGTGAAACTCCATCCCTACCTGTGGTTTATATTAAAGCCCCTTTTAGGGCTGGCAGCCTTCAGGATGTTTTCACCCAGAACCTCTTTCTATGTTTTCTCACGGGCCACACAAATATTGATACTAAAATACTACATTCTGCCCTGCTCTGCTCTGACAAAGATGTTGGATGTGTGCATTTGGTGCAGCTGTCATAAAAGCAAGATCTTGGAAAATTCTTTAAAATCCAAATCCTTGGATTAAGCATGACTTCTGAACTTAGTCTTCTGTGCTACCACCATTTAAGAGAGAGAAATGAGAGATATCAAGGCAGTAGTGGTAGTAGAAGATGGTCAGAATCAGATCTGAGCTTGAATGTGTTTCTGTGCTTGAGAAGTGCCACCAGTCTCCTGACAGAAAAACATTCATGTTTCTGACATTGAAACATTCATGTCTTTGAGAACCCTGGGCCTGTGATAAAGGAAATACTTTGGTGATCAGAGAGCTGCTTCTCATCTTCTCATGAAGCAAATGCATAAGGCCACATATCTACGCTGGTTGTCTGGATTTTTTTGCACTACATGTTCAGCAGCTGTTTTTATGACATTTCTTTTGTGAGTGTTTTTTTTCTTTGCTCTATCTTCATAGCTTTAGTGTTTACTTTTCTAGAGTGCCTGATGCCTTCATGATAATCACTATGTCAAACCAAAAGAAGTTGCTGGAGAAAGTTCAATGCTCCCACACTGAGGAGTGTTTACTTTGCATGAGAGAAAGACATGGGCATGTAGTAACCTTCAAACATTAACCATTGGTAATAACATTAGAGTAGAGAAAGAAATAGATTTTCCTTCATGGAGAGTGTTCTTCCTAGGGCTCCTTGAGGTGGGAAATGACCCACAAGGATGATAATGATTCTCACCAAATCCCAGTGCCACTTACTTGTTGAAGTGCTCGAGGAAGATGAGGCTGGTGGAGGTGCCTATGATGGTGGTCAGCCCCCCGATGGTTGCAGCGTAGGAGATGCTCAGCGAGAGGCATTTGCAGACCATGTGGTCATGCCTGCTCTGGTACTGGTACCTGCTGCTCAGCCCGAGGTCTGAGGGCTCGGGGGGCAGGACCAGGATCTGAGCCTGTGAGGGGACATATTCACAAGAAAAGCAGGTGATCAGAACAGCAGCCCAGCTTGCTCTAATGCCAGAGTGATATGGGGCCCAGAGAAGCAACAGGTTTGTGTAAGAAAGGTCAGATTTTTCTTTACAGGGATTTACTGGGATCAGTTGTGGAAACTTGTCCCAGGGCCTAAAATGGCTTGGTCTATGACAAAAATGTAGGATAAGCAGTAATCAGACTTCTGGCTAAGGTTTGGGCCAGCTCCAGGTCTCACTGGAATATCAGTGGGATACCAAAAGCCTTTGAGGGCTGCAGGGACGGGATGCCAGCACTGAGCAGAAGGAATCCATAATCCTTGAGGCTTAGAGCAGCCACCACACAAAGGCTTGGTGAACTTTTCACACTTAAACCAGCTCAGGGTCTCTAATTAGGAATGGAGTGCTGGAGAATCTCAAAATGGAATGGAAAAGGCTGTGCAATGGGAATATGGAAGGAAAAGATGCCAAAAAATTTTGCTCCAAAAGAAGCTTTCATATCAGTCACAGGAAAATGTCTGTGTTGGTAGATGAAGTCCTTATATTGGGAAAAATTGTACAGTACCTCAAGGCAGTTCTCATGCAACCTGTAATTTAAGAATGAGGAAAAAGATAGCAAGTGGTTCAGAAAGATTTGTTACATTTACCAATTTTTATTTTGATTTATTTTTGAACTGTGAATGCAAATTCTTGTGTTGATTTTAGCCTCTTCTTTTATGGACATAAACTTATGCCATTAGGACACTACAAAATTGTCATCCAAACAGCAATCTCTTCTTGGATCCCCTCAAGAGAAGTAGAAATACTGGAATGAATTGATTTAATGGAGGATTTTGAGGCTGGATATTTTGGAAGACAAAAAGGAAGTGGATGCTAAGAGTACCTAACAAAGTGGCTGAACAGATTAATGGTCTGCTTTTTTCATTCTGAGTAGGGTTTTCTGTGCCAGGGGTTGTTATTTTTGAGTTAGGCTATTTTCCAATGAGGATTTGCAGAAACAAAGTGGCTATTACAGTCAAATAATAAAGGAAACTCGTGATCACATTAGTGGATGTAAAGCTAAATGAATTGTCCCAGCCATTGGGGAAGGGTTTTCTGAACACACCTCTGCTGGGTGCAACAACTGGCAAAGGACCAAGCTGTGGCTGTGCTGAGACAATGGAGAATGATTCCTTTCAAAGAACAAATATGAAACAGTAGGGAGCAGGTGATATTCACATCTGTCTTTTACCTCACTCCCAGTCTAACATTTCCTTACCTGAGGTAGGTGCTGCCCATTGCTTGTAGAATTCATTGTTCCAATAGGGTTGGCTATCATGTGCACACCATTCATACTCTGCAAGGAGGAAAATACCTTTGGATTAACCTTTCTTGTGTTCCCAGGGGCACTTGTGAATTTGTGACGCTGTGTAAAGGTACTGGCTGGCAGGCTTTGGGGACAAACAAGGAAAAAGAAAAAAAGGCTCCAAAACTACAAGAAAATCCAACCCACTAATATCAGCTGTCAATTTTACATTGGGGAAAAAAAGTTTAAACCTCCTGCTTTTTTTTTTTTTAATTTTATTTTAAAGTGATTTTAAAGTCAAATTATGCTGAGATTAGGTCTTGCTCTGTCATGTTGGAGACTCTAACAGGTCCCTTGAGCCTGTGATTTTGTGATATGTACAGGCTGCTGCAGCAACTTGAGAATTCTCAGCTTCAGAAGTTGGCAATACTGGAACAACAAAAGATTATATCTGAATTTGCTGGAAACCATATGGAATTGTTAGTTCTCTGACTGGATCTCAGGGTCTCCAGCAAGGAGTACAACAGACATCTATTGTTTTGTACTTCTGTTGTTGCTGTTACGGAGATAATGTTCCCCAATTGATTTGTGCAAGCAGGCTGACAGGTTAAACACAAAGCAGGACATTCGGCAATACCTAATTTCTCCCAACAACCACCATACATTTGAAATAAAGGGACCATCAGTTTTTTTCAGAGCTGCGTGCATTTTGCTCTGCTGGTTCCTGCACTCGGAGACAGCATAGCACAGAAGATACCACCTATGACAATACCTTTGAGTGCATCAAGGAGCTGAAGTCAGTAGTAGTAGCACTAAAAACAAAGAAAGGAAAATATGCTTTAAAAAAGCCTGTTCATCCAGCTTCTGCAAGAAGCACACATCATGGGTGGGAGGGGCAACATCTGCAGGAGAACTAGTGCCTACTAGAATACTGAATACCACTTACTAGAACCTCTTATGTGGGCTCATAGCCAAAAAGTAAGTCATTATTATATTTCATAGCTCAATCTCTAGCTGCGTAACAGTGGAGTTCTACCTCCATGCAAGAAAAGATTATTTTCTTGGTAGTATTTAATGCATTCTAGGACAGGACTTCATTCCCTGTGGAGTGAATCACCAGGCAATCCAGCACCATTGCTGTCTGTTCTAGTCAAGTTCTTCCTCTGCCAACTTTTCCAATGCCATTTCTGAGTACCTACCTGTACCACATTAAAGCCTTCCCTAAAACCTGCCCTGTGTGGCATGTGGATCATGCAAACAATCCATTGAACTTATTTCCAAAAGATGTACTACTTTTCCTGCCAAATTCAAAGCTCTTTTTCAAGTAATCCTATTTTAATAATAGTTCTGTTTGAAATATCCCTCATATACTCTTTGATAGGGGTTAAAGGGATTAATGGCACAATGTCGACCTGAAGATTTGATTCTATATTGCATAGAAAATATGGCTGGGATAAAAAGAGATAACAGAGGGAATATTGGAGAAACCAAATAGTCTCTAGACTAATGAGAAAACTATTTAAATCTTGCCAGTTAACTTAAAGTCATCAACCTGTTTATAATAAAACTGTGTATAATAAACTTAAATAAACTTGTTTCTCTTTTATTTTGAGCAGTTGAAAACAATACAGAAGGAGCTCAAAAAGGGACTGTGCAATTTCATTCCTGCACTTCATAAGATGCTCCTCAGTATTGGCCTATAATAAATTTTTGGAACATTAGCTTTGTATACTGTCTTGTATGCCTTGAATTGATGCCTTGATGTCTTGAATAGATAATTTGACAATGAAATTATTCCTTTACTTGATATACCTTTCCCTCACTAGATTCTTCCCCAAATAGAAACCACTGGTGTTTCAAATATCTGAAGAAATTAGTCTATATTTAAAGAAATCTTCTTCAAATTTTGTAGGGGAGGAGGGGTGTTTTTTTGTGGGTTCTCCCTCCCCCCACGTCCCCCTGCCCTCCACTCTCATCTCTCTTGAATGCAGGCAGTTCAAACTTTCTTCAGGAATGCTCTGTAAGTGATGTCCCTCTGGATATGTCCTGTGGGCAGCCCGTGCTGTAATTGGATCCTCTTCATCACTGTTCCTTCAGGGGAACAGAATAAAAACCTGTGGACAGCACTTTCTTACACAGCACAAACTCAGATTTCAAAAGAGCTTTCAAACCCCTTGAAATATTTTCCTTCTCCCTAAAATATCCATAGTTTTAAGAAATAAATGAATACTGCAAAATTTTACTGAGATCCAGACCATTGCATTTATCCCATTTATCATGTAAGCCTTCCTTGTCAGTCACATGTGACACATTCACTTGTAAGGTTTTGCTTGCCCTTCCTGGCTCTACTCCTGGGTTCATCTCATTGCAACCTGTGTAGGGCTCAAATGTCCAGTCCTGGTGTACAGGGTTCATTCTTACTCCTCATTGATGAAGATAAGCTCCAGTGAAGCTTGGCCGTGCTTTTCACCGAGACCTGCAACAGAGGAACAGAGAGGAGCCCTTGGGGTAAGAACTGAGCTGAGCTCACACCACTGCACCTGGAGGAGCTGCTGCTAACAAAATCTTGTCCAAACACTCTCAGGTGTTCTCTTGATGCGGCATTTTATTATTTTGTATTGCACTGATCATGTGCATCTGGCAATTAAAGGACTATGATACCTACATGTAATAGACAGGATTGGATGAAATAATTTTCAGCCTGGAAACTGTAAAGTGAGAGAAAAGAGAGATTCTTTTCTTCCTAAGCCGCCTTCTTCTGGGAAGGAATGAACCAAATGAACCTTAGAGCTCTTATCAATTTTTTATTATGAGATTGTCAAGAGAAACCCTCTAAACCTCTTCTAAATTTCCTGGACTTTAGTCCCAAAGGTTTCCTTCCAATCCTGTAAAATCCTGTGACCAAGAGTTTATGACACACAGCTACAGCAGATGCCCTGATTCAGTATAAAGTTTCCCAACTCCTATTCTTCCATCTTTTCTAAAATTTCCTTTCATTTTTTGAAGGGAATATCAGAATATGAAAAGGAAGAGTACATATCAGCGGTTTTAGCAATGTAAGTCAGACAGATCTGACCTCGATAGAATTTCAATAATATGTATCAACAAGTCTGGTCATTGACAAACAAATGAGAAAAGAGTGAATGCCAATACTGACAAATACCTATTGGCTTGTTTTCTTCAGCAATGGTGCTGCCTGCAGTCGTGATGACCTCACACTCCTCCTCAGCATTCACCAGCTCCTGGAGCACTGCCTCCACAATTGGCATCACCATGGCTGTGGTGGAGGTGTTGGAGAGCCACATGGAGAGCACCGTGGTGCAGCACATAAAGCAAAGGAGCAACCTGGAGTGCAGAACACGGGGAGTCGGAGGTGGCAGAAAAAGGAGGGGAAGATTTGTAAGCTGTCAAACTCTGAAAGATGGGTATGAAAAATGTCCCAAACCAAGGCAGATTTTGCCCATAGATGGGAAGATCAGAGTGGTTTCAAGCTGCTGCTCTCAGCCTCAGACTACTCCAAAGCCAAAGGTTCACTCACATGCCTGGCTTGGCTCCAGCCATCATCACCATGCGCAGGGCAATTCGCTTGTGGAGATTCCACTTTTCTACAGAAGCTGCCACACAAATCACACCCATGAGGAGCAAAGTTGTGTTCTTGAAATATTCAGCAGCCACCTGCATTAAGGGCCAGGGAGAAGCAGCCAGGTAAAAAAGCAGTAAATACCCTACACAGAAAGCATGCTGAATGAGAAGAAATATAGCATAGTGCATTTTTGCTCCCTCAGGTGAGAATGACAGGGAGCTGGAGAAAACAAAGAATTCATAAATCAAAACATTCTCTTTAAGCTCTGTCTTGTTGTGCTTACAAATAAAGCTCTATCTTCTATTGTTTATAGGCTTCTGAGTTTTGAAGAGATCAAGAGAAATGTTATATTTGCAAGCAGGATGTTTAGTGCCTGCAGTGAGTCAGTCATACTCAGCTAGGCTCAGATGGAAACAAGCACAGACAAAAGTGCACTGAAGGCAGCTTATTCATGTGCTTCATCTGCTTTTTCTTTCTGGAGGTATTGTTGTCTATCTTGCCTATACTTATTTCGTCTTGTTCAGCTTTTGGGAAAAATGCGGCATCCCTAGGACTTCCTGCATCAGAATAAAAGTCCTTTGGGACTTGCTCTTTGAATGCAATAAAAAAGGGCTGGTATATTGCTGCAGTGAACCACAAATCCTGTGTCAAAACTTGTCACCTTGGAAATCCATTTCCATTTTATCAGGAAAAGAAGGAAAAGTTTCAAGAATAAGAACTTTAATTTAAAGACAATGAGCAAAAACCATCACTGGCTCAGGAAAATATTCAGACACCACCTCCAAAGCAGGAATTGTGGATGTGGATCTTGCTAAAATATGAGAAGATATTCTGTGAAGCAACTGCAAAAATGACAAATTAAGCAAACCATAAAATTCTTACTCAAACATACACACTTAATTCCGTAAAAACAAACAAAATGGGAGAAAATAAGAATTACAAAGAGATGCTTGGGGTCTAGCAAAATTTTTCATTTCATTTCGATGCAATCCTTCCTAGGCTGTTGCTGGAATATTTTTCAAAAAAAATGTCATTTCTTCAGTTTAAAACTAGTTCTCTAATGAAATGTAGGTGCCAGCATTTTAAAATTATTAAGATCAGAGAAAACAATAATTTTTCCATTGTCCTCAGTTATACTGATGCTTCTCCATAAAATGCAAGAATGACAATAATGTTATTTTGTGAAATTTGCAACAAGTTATATATTTAATGACATTTATTTAATAAGTCCCTATGGTAACTAAATAGACTCGGCCATCATAATTGTGTGCCAGAACTTTTAAATATCACCTTTTTGGCTTTCTTCCACTGGTTTCTTTCTCATTAACTTTCTTTATTTTCCTGCTACCTTTTCAAAAAATAATGAGGTGAATGAAGGAAATCAATCAAACCAGCAGCATGAAGAATCTGTTTTTTTTTCTCCTTTATTCCTTTCAAAGCCATTTTGGAGAAATAAGTGAATGCTAATAGTCTCATTAATACCAACATACATATATATGACACACTGGTTCATGCACTTAAGCCCCTGTGAGTAATTTGTAGCTTAAATAGTAGTAATTTTCTAGGCAAGAGTCAATCCAGAACAGCAGATTGGAAATAATACTTCAGAGTTGTTTATTTTTGAATGCAGGGACTTATTTCTGTTCCTAAAGCAAAGAATACATTCTTTGCAGTAGTCTTACTGTCACTTCATTTGCTATTGCATTGAATTTCTCTCAGGCTGACATTAAATTTCCTTCTCCAATGTGGTGCCGAATTTTTAATGAAAATGCCCAACTACTTTACCTTTATGTTAGGAAAAAAAGATTGTGAAAATACTGAATTGTGTTGGTATGAAAATGTATCTCATTTTATTGCAAAACTTGGGGGAATAAGCAGTCATTAAGCTCTCGGCTCATGCTTGTTTCTATCCATTTATGGGTATTCCCAGTGATAGATTGTGAGAGAAATCAAACAATTTTATGTTTGCTACATATTCCTCTGCATTCTTATCTGCATTACTCATCCTTAAATCAAATGTGCTGTCCCTTTACCCCAAAAAAGAGATAGAAAAAGGCAGGGGGAAAAAGTAGCAGAGAAAATAAAATAAATTCTTGGCATATATTGAAACAAATTAACATTCAAAAAAACCTCAAGTAAGCAAATTCAGGATTGATCATAGAGACTTTTCCGTACAGCTACTCCTTTGCCTGAGAACTTATGGCTACACTGCAGCAGTAGGTTACAGCTTTGAAAAAAGGCTAGACATTCACCTGGATAACAAAATTATCTAGTTTTTTCCAGTAAACGGTAATTTGTTTTAGCATATGTAGCCTCTTGCCTTATATGGCATCCACAATAAATAAATAAAATTGGAAGGAAACTTGACAGTGTATCCTGTGGGCGCTGTTCACATGGATTTGAGGAGGGCAGAGGTGGGATCCTTTGGTGCAATAGGTGTTGGTAATTGTTGGTGATGCAGGAGCTGAAAGGATGGACACCTCTCCTGGCTATTGTAGCCTGTCTCATATCTCACATCCTATATCTATTTTCAGATGAAGAAGGGGCTGGTGGGACCCAGTTACACATTACAGAATATACACTTCTGCCTCCCATACCTCCAAGTCTTTGCTGCTGCACTAAGATCAGCCTCGTTCAGATAATTAGCTGAGACCAAGAACATTAAATGATAAAAGCACACAACGGTCTGACCTCGCTGGACTTCATGACCCCAAAGAGAGGGTACAGGAAAGCAGGAACCAAGGCTGCTGCCCCAAGAGGCACTGCTTCAGAGACCCAGTACACAGCAGTCACGATGAGCACGTAGGCACACGAGGCTTCCTGCAGGGACAAGCACAGAGGATGAGTGTCACTGCCCCACCACATGCTGTGGGGAACCCTGGGAACTCACCCATAGGACTCCTCAGACTGTGGGTGCCTGGGTTTAAAAATAAAAAACCAAAAAAGACTGCATTGGGACCTCCAAAGGTGCAGCTGTTTGGGTGTGAAATCTTGGCTACCTTCTGAAAGGAGAGTGTCAGAAGATGATGCTAATGGAAGTTTTCACACATAATCCAAGGAAAAGTATTGTGATAAGCCCATTTATCAGTAAAATAATGGCTTCAAGTGCATTTGCAAATTCATTTTATTTCCATAATCCAATATTTACCAAGAATTCAATCATGACTCCTCAGATTAGACCCGTTGACCTGTTATGTCAAGATATTTTTCTCTTCAGTCCTGGACAAAGACAGGAAATGTTAGTTTTCAGGACCAGATGAGAGCATTCATATTTGCCATAAAACTGCCTTGTAGTTATTTCAGGAAATGTTCTGGAAACTTGGGTTGGAGTTTTTTTGTTGTTTTTCAGTTTGTTGGGGTTTTTTTAAGCAATGTGTAAACACATTTGTTAGCTGATTTCATTTGCTCAGGTAATTTCTACAGACCTTTGGAAGAAGACCACAGGCCTGCGGGATTGGAGGCAATGGGTGAATGGAGCTAATCAAACAAATTTGCTGCTGTCCAAGGTTCTGGTTGAAAAAGACATGAGGGCATCATGGTGAGCAGTCATGGGGAGCTGGGATATGATAGAGAAAAGTTCTATCTGCTGAATATTCTTACAGGAAAACAGCCAGTGAATGGAAATGTTCTGGTCCATTTCTTTAGAAATGTCTTTATTTATGGCTCTCATTGGATTTGTCCTTATGCTCAGTTTCTTATACTTAGCAGTAGTTTCTGTGCTTAGAGACCCGGGGATGTCTGCTGGTGATAATTACAGAAACTATCCTCAAGAAAAGGTTTTTCCTTTTCTCTCCCTTTCTCAAATTTGAAGCCAAGTCCTGTACTGGCCTTAACCTGCTGTTCTATGGCAGTTAGTAGGTCTGCACTGATTTACTCCAGCTATAAATTTATCTGTTCTTCATTATGCACCAGATACTCCATATGAATTCATCACACCATATAGAGTCACAGCTCACAAATGGCTATTGTTTAGAAAATTCACTGTTCACAAATGTTACTTGAGTCTCCTAAAATATAATTTTATATGCTATACATCCATCCTGGCTGGATGACCTCTAAATAAAGCAGCTTTCAAGAGGTCTCACAAACAATTCTTGCAGATCCTTGTGCAAATCAAAGAGCGTGTTTTACATTTTGTTGTTTTCAATCAGTTTTGTGAACAAGGTGGTAAAGGCTAGTGAAATTATACAGGGATGTGGGTTCAATGGAATCAATCAAAAGTTTGTATTTAAATTCATCTTTGTAGATGTAATTTTCACATTACCTCTAAAAAATCCACACTTAGATGTTCATCTCTTTTTTTGCAGTACAGCTTATAATAACAACAGGCATAACACAGTCCAGAGATGAAGTTAAGATAGATTCATATGTACGATTTCTTTTACTTGTGCAAGAATTGTAGCCAAAGTTACTCAGAAGCTTGGATTTAAATTAGCTGCCAGATCTTGCACCGAGTCCTGTTTCAGAATAGTGTAACATTAAATGATTATAATTCAACAAAGCCAGGGTAGATTTATGTCAGATATTGGGGAAAATGTCTTCAGTGGTAGGGTGAAATTTAGCCCTGAATTAGCCAACTTGCTGTTCTGTCACGTTTAACTACATTATACCTCAAGGTAGTGAAAGTGGAATAGGACAGAGGGAATTTGCATCTCTACCAATACCTTACTGGGACGGGCACTAAGTCTTTGTGTTTCCTATACACTAGGCTGTAATCATTTTACAAAAGAAAAACCCCAAATAAATTGCATTTTTAAATGGTACAGAACTGTAAGCAAGTACTGGGAAAGCCAAGCTTGCTAATCTCCACTAAAAACTTAATCGGCTTGTCTGGCAACTTTATTTATTTTCTCAGTTGGTTTCCAAGAGAAACCATATTAATCTCTTCTATTTAATTGAACAGAGTTTATATATTTAATTAATGGTTACCAAAGCTACTAAGTATTACACTGAAGCAGTGGCAGTGTAATTTTAACTGTTTCCTCACTTGTTGTTTTACAGCTGAAAAATTCTGTTAAACCCACCTCAGAGCTTGAAGCAGGGAATAGGAAAACATGTGATGGCTGGAGGAACTATCATCTAATTATCTGTCTTCAGTCAGTCCCTTAGGTTAAAAGAAGAGCTGAAAGGAAGGCATGGCTAAAACTAAGGGTCATGCATAAAACTTCTGTAAGTAAAATATCCAAGGATCTCAGCATGATTAAAAGGAAGAATAAATTCTATGTTAGAAATTTGCCCACTTATTTCCCCATTGCATATCTTGCATGCAGACGTGTGGTTAAGCTCTGTAAAGAGATAGTCCAGCCTCTGGAATAACTTCTTTGATTTTATGGGATCATGCTGAAATTTCATCCTTCAGTTTGTGTAGATAAAACCAAAGGTAAATGAAAATGTGTCAACTGTGGCTCTCCAGAACCTGTCCTCTGTTTAGGGTCCATTCTGCTGATTTGGCATATCTAGATGCCAACATCCCCTGGTACTACATTCTCACAGCTCTGCCAACAGGTGGCTTTCAGGAGTCATCCAAATGTCCTTGACTGGGTGCAGTGTGACCACAGCAACAGTGGTCACAGAAAGCCTGTCCCCAGCTGACTGAAATCATGAGGCCTTGTGGCATCTCTGGCTTTATGACCAAAAAAAAAAAAAAAAAAAAAAAAAAAAAAAAAAAAAAAAAAAAAGTGGATAAGGATTACAAAAAAGAAGTAAAAATGCTCATATGTCACTGTAAACAATGAAGGAAATAAGGACAGAATGAAAAAAACCCTCAGGTTGTAAAGCACACACTTTTTTTTGACCTGAAAGACATTTATGTATGTCAAAACATACATATGTATGGCACAAGCTCAGTCTTAACTCCAGAAAGGGAAAAAGAATTTGAGCAAATTTTCTCAAATTCATTCTTCACTCAACCATTTGTTTTCACAAAATAATATAAAAGAATCTGTGGACTTTATTCCCATTAGTAGCATCTACCAACAATTCTGAGTCCTTGTGCTCCCTTTGATCTCTCCTGCCACTACACACGTAATGCTCTTTTGATGTTTCCAGAGATGTGCTGGTGTCATCAAAGAAACTGCAAGCTGATTCCCTGCAAAAATGCAAATATAAATGACCTGGTAATTTCAATCTCTATAAAAAAGACAAAAAATTTAACATAATTGTAAAAATACAAGCATGTGAGCAGGCATCAGATTTAATCTTCATATTTAAAAAGTAATCATAGTCAATGGGTCATAACAAAGTAAAACCTACACAATAGCACTTTACTGTCAGCTGAGTTTAAATGGTGTAGATGTTTTCTTAATAGCACTATAAACATTTGTCCAGCTCTTGGCCAGATTGTCAGCTGTACTTTACCCTCTGTGATCCCTCACATATATACAAAGTGGATGTAAATCTCCACTGGATGGATTTTCACGTCACTTTGCAGGAAAGCAGCACCTGAAGTGCAGAGGTGCAGAGTAACAGTGCAGAGGAGCTTGTACTGCACAACAGCAATTCTTGCAGCAATCCTGTCAGTGAACTCCTGCTTCAGCAGCAATAAGGTGCTTTACAATCCCCTTGACTGAGCATGCCAGGGAGCATCTCTTTTCATGTCACCCTTCCAGTGAAATCAGGGGAGATTAAACCCCTCTGTAGAACAAGCCTCTGTGAAAGGGCGAGCCTTTCTGTTCCCTGAAGAGCACAATTGTCTGTTATTCATTCCCTCTCTTGAGATAAAAGAGATGAAAAAGCACTGCAAGAGATCAGCCAAGATATATTGAAGTTCAAAGCAGGAAAACTCAAAGTGCAACATACAGTTCAGTGGTGCAGGAACATTTCCTTTCTATGAATTCTGGTTTATTTTCCAAACAAAATGTTACTGTTTTGTTTTTGAAATCAGCTATGCAATTTCTAATCATTTGCATTTCTATTGGGTAACATACTAGTATTAATAAATCCCCTGATACTTCAAGGAAAAATGAATCTTCAGCAGCGTAGAGGATGGAATGGATATTGCTGCACTTTTGGGACAGATTTATGTCTAGGTCTGTGGGCAAGGACAAGGTACAGATTTTTAATACATTGCAGATTTTGCTAAGTTAAACACCACCACCTGTCTAAGGCAGAAAAACATTGCTATTTTATGGGTTAAAACTGCTGAGATGTGCAAAGAGAGGACTTTACCGTGTGGTCAAGGCATTCAGTATCTCCAAAGCAGTGTCAGGAACACAGCTGCACTCACTCCTTTCCCTGGTCTGTGTGTTAAGCACAGGATATTCCTCCTTTGCATTGCTGTGTATGCCAGTGTCAGAGTTCCAGCAGAGTTCCAGCAGTGTTCCAGCAAAGGCACCTACACCTGCCCTGGAGCAGCCAGTGCCATGCACTGTCACCCAGCCCCAGCTCCTGCCACACCTGAGCTGCTGTCTTTATAAACCCACACTAAATTGAAAGTCCCTCCATAGACACTTATAACTAAAAAACTAAAGAGTCAATAAGCATACCTTTTAAAGACCTCTCCTTAAAGAAAATTTCATGGATGTGTTTGTTCTGTTCCCCCTTCCATACAATATTATTTTAGAAAGAGATCCAACACTTCTGCTTTAAAGCAGTGGTTTTCTAGCTTCACCTGACTCTTCAGCTCTGCTTGTGACACAACTCAAGGTAGCTCTAGCTCTTAGTGATGATTTCTCAGTGACCCTCACAGTCCTTCAAATGTGAGTCTTTGATTTTTCTAAGATCTGTGCTTCTTGACATCTTTGTCTTTCTTTTTGCATGCTGCAAACTTAATCAGCAGGACTATCTGTTGCACTCAGAGGTTTGTTAAAAAGAAAATGAAAATGTACTTACACTGCTGGGGTATATGAGTGGCAGAGGAAGCAGCAGAAGTGGAATGAGGACAACAAGCAAGAGATTTCTGGATCGGAGAATTTCCTTCATCACTGCCATGCTCCTTCTGGTGGCTTTCTTCTCCTTCAGATTCTTCTCTGGTTCCTCAGATATTCCAATTTTCATGCTACGTTTTCCTTCACCTGTGCCTGGATTTCCCCCCAAAAAAATCTCACAACCTCATCGCTTATCCCTACAGCCACCAAAAATATCTTTCTTACTTTATTTATTCTTCAATCTGTTGTTTTGAAAAGGCTTATTGATTAAAAATACATTCAGTTTAGGTAGGGCTCACCAGCACATCTGAATTATTATCACACCATAACATGCAGAGGTTTGCAAGTTGGAACATAGTGATCTTTTGACAAATTTTGTTTTTCATTCAGACTCACAGCTGTAGATGTGTTATATCCTTATTCCCATGTTTTATAAAGTTTTTTCTTCCATCATCTAGTGGTGTTATTTCCGTTTTCATAAACAAGGCAAGATATGTTTTGAGCTGCTGCTTTTCCTCCTGTTTGGTAGTCTGCAAGTTTTAAATACAGTTTCTTTTCTGCTGGAAGATTACTAAACAAAACAATTTATTTTCCAATGCATAGAAGTAAATTTTCAGGTACTTCTTTAAAGAAAAGACCAAATTCCCCCTCCATTTGCAGCTCCTTCAGATTTTATTTCTTTTCTTCTATTTTGTATCTACCTTTACCCTACTTTTGCCCTGAGCTTGGAACTCACATGGCAGTAATTCCAACATGGATTATACTTGATCTCAAGACAAAAACTTGTTAAAAACCTACAGGCAACTCTAATTCACCAATGAGGAATGCAGAAGGTAGAAGTTGCTCCACCCATTGTTCCAAACCCAGTCAGAACATTTGAGAAAATCAACAGCCTTCTGACATTCCCACAAATATATAAAAAGACCTTTTTTAGGCTGCTGAACAGTTTGTTATTGTTGCAGGGTCCCTGTACTGATGATAAATAAATAATCATTGTTTCCTGAACAGTATCTTTTGTCTTTGTGTTTCTTCCATCACAATCCTTGGATGTCACTCATTTAGAAGGCATGGGCTGATCTCTGCACCGACTCCTGTGCCTTGAGTAACCATAGGGTTCCAAATCAGATTGAGAATTTTTAGGCATTCTACTCTTGTCTTCTAGGGGAAAAAAACATTTCTCAAACTCTTCTGCTATTAATGCTTTTTTGTGGGGCAGAAAGCACTGGAGATTTAGGACTGAACCCATTGGCTGGTTACATGCACCATCTGTAGACAGACAAATGTATGTTTGCCTTGTATCTCATGGGAAGAACACATCTAGGATTTTCCATGCCCCTCAAACTTGCTTGCCTGTCCTGTGCCAGAAATCTAAGATACAATTATTAATTTCAGGAAGAATTTACCCTACACATCAAACTCCTCTGCAAGGCTGCATTTGCCAGGTTTCCAGGACTCAGGGTCACAGAGGCATCACAGTCCAGTCTGGGAGCTCAGTTTTTCACTGGAAACCTGGCAAATGCAGCCTTGCAGAGGAGTTTGATGTGCAAGGTGAATTCTTCCGGAAATTAATACTCGTATCTTAGATTTCTATATCTCAAAACTTCCATCAAGCAACAGAACCTTGAGACTTTTCAGGTACATTTAACTAATGGAAGAAAAGCTGTAGTTAATGTGAAGATTTTGGTTTGGCCAAAACAGCTCAGGGTCTCTTTTTTTCAATAGTTTCAGATAAACTAAGTAAATAACCAAAAAAAGGTCTAAAATGTTCATAAAATGAAAATTTGTTTTATTTTAAGTGGGAATATATAATCTTATTTCATATTTTTATGATCCATAAGGTCAAAGGGTGGATAAAATGTTCCATTTAGGGGCAATGGTTTTCTAACTTGTGAGATAAGAACTGCCCACAAAGAAGATCCCATCCAAAGTGATAAGACAAAAACTGAGATAGGGAGAAAGCAACCTACACCAGCATCTTAAGGCTGAGAATACTGAGGCAGAGAAATGTCCTAAGCCCTGAGAACTTCCCTGAAGGCAGAGTGCTCCTTTCCACCTGAACCCTGGAAAAAGGAGGCACTCTCATTTCTGTTTATCATCTCCTTCAGAGGGAAGGGCTGTTCCCTCTTCTCCCCAGTACCATTGCTCCCATGAAGCATTTCACAGTCTGAGATAAGCAATTACTCAAGCTGAAGTTGCAAAATAGTAAATCTACTGCTGAAATCAATACAATGCAAAGGCAAGGACTTTTATGTAGAATGTTTTTATTATTACATTGAGAGTCTCTGTTAAATTAAACTGGGCAGTCCAAGCACTTTGCCAAGGAATAAATCTTTTTCTTACATTAGACACAGTAAAAGAAGGAGGGAAACAAATTCATAAAACCTTTATTTTCTGTTGAGGAGATAAATGTTTCAGTTACCAATTTGTAAGTATGATAAGGTATGTATGCCATAGGGAATTATAAGATATTAAAAATTATCTGTAATTATTTTTTATGGGATATTTTATGATTATTAAACTCTACTGGGCAGTCCTGTTGTGGGGCAAGGAGACGTATTTCTCTGATTGCTGAGATAGCAATTAATATTTGCTCTAGTTCTCTTTCCTGCGATTTTTTGCAAGCTAAAATTGCAAGAGGATTTTAGCTTGCAAAAATCCTCTGGAGTAGCTGGCTATGAGGATTTATGAATTGCCCTGGTTCCAGGCCCTTCCAGCAAGTGGTGTTTCAGGGAGCCAAGAAGCAGAGCTGGAAAGACAGTGTTGCACTCTGTGGCATTTCCCCTTCATGTGTTTATAAAGCATGGGGGGAAGAAATCACAAGCAGATCATCAGTGTTAAAGCTGAGGGATCAAAGGGCATGTGGGCAGGAAAGCAAGGCTGCTTTGGGGCTGCTAAGCTCTGTGTGTGCAAGCAGAGGAGACAAGAGATATTTGTGGCCCACAGCTCTGTGCCTGAGGCTTGAAGTTTCCTTTGCCATCTGCCAGACAGGCTTTGAAGATGGCCAACAAAATTCTTCAGGTATAAAATGCACTTACACACTTGCATGTCTAAATGAATGTGCACGCTTGTACACACAAATCCAGAAACTTCTGGGGGAAACAAAACTGAGTCTGTCTTTTATAAGCCCTTTGTCCTGCTGCTAATGCCATGGGCAGACTGCCCCAAGGCTGCTGTGCTTCCACACTCCCACAGGCGTTTGCCAAGCCCAGTGCTCTAACTGCTTGCACTGTGCTCTTTGCTGTGCTTCTGGGTGAATTTTTTCAGCTCCAGTCCTTGAAGTACCCCTGTTAAGGGACACAGAATAATTAATTCTTTTTGCTCAAGTGATGCAAAAACAGTTAAACATGATACAGAACTTGGGCTGGAATCCTTAGGTCTGTTTTAGTCTTGGGGATTTGTGATTTGGACCTGCATCTTAATATATTATGCAATAGAAAAATAGAGAATGATGATATGAAAGGATGAAATATATGTTCAGCTATTTTCCCATGGTCTAAAAGCAGAAGCACCTCTAATAACAATAGAAAAACAGAGTTTGTATCTCCTGTGCACAAACATTACGGGTTTGATTTAGAAGAGTCTGGATTTTTGATAGCTAGTCATCCTTCTGACAAAATAGATCTCCATTTTCTGTCTCTTTTCCGTTCATGACTTTTTTGGGAGTTCATTATAATTGGTTGCAGTATTTCTACAGTTTTTCCTTTGCTAGTCCCAAATTCATAATTCGCACCACTGAATTGGTAAATAGCCTTTTCTGCCAAGTGGTCAGATGCAATTGTTCACTGACTGAACAATTTGGGATTCTTCTACGTACTCAGCACTCACGTGCACACACATGCATGAACATAGACACACACACACAAACACAAGGATACTGAAATGAATATACAATTTATTGTTAAAAAAAAGAGCCACAGTGCCAAATTCAGCACCAGGTATGTTTTAATGCACCTTCCTCCCTTGCCTCAGTGGGATTGTAGAGAATAGGTTTAGATGACCTACGTTCAAGCAACAGAACCAGGAAAAATGTGTCATTATTGAATTAAATAGGGCTTTTGTCTTGCCTTGGATTCCACTGAGGACAAATACATGTTCTTTTCAAAAAAAAAAAAAAAAAAAAAAAAAAAAAAAAAAAAAAAACAAAAAAAACCAAAACAAAACAAAAAAAACCCCACAAAAAACAAAAAACAAGCAGCAGAAGCAAAGTCATGTGCAAATAATGAAAGAATCACTGCAGACTGTTTGGGAGGACAGCTCCAGGAAGAGGGGAATACGTTCACAGGCATTGTTTGCTGCTGGTCTTCACAATGCCCTTTGTCTTCTGAAAATGTTATTGCAATTAAACACTGGCTCAGCCAATGAAGTGAATCAGAGGGTGCTTATTTATGAGAACATTTGGAATGGATAATATGTGGCATAATTTCTGAAGGCTGATAGTTATGAAACCTCCTCCTTTTACAGCAGGCCTTCATCTCTGTGTAATATTCTCTTACTGGCCAGCCAAAACATGAACTTGTTTCCCCAGCTAGGAAAGCAGCACTCTCCAGCACTTACACACCAGCAAGTGAGCATAAGCACAGTATATTTATGTATTGCTTATAGGAAACCCAAAGGATGAATCAAGGGTTTGCCTGAAACAAGGCTCTGTCTGGGTGTGCACCAAACTGCCTTCTTTTCCTGTCACAGAACGTGCCTCCAAGCCAGCACAAAAACCGAATTCTCAGGACTGAAGAGGTTTTTCACCATTTAGCATGGAACTAGAAAGCAGGCTCCACAAGAGGGAGCCAGAAAACGAACAATCTTTCACGAAGCAGGCTATTAAACTCTTTACAGAATAAAGTGGTGGGCGTGCTACAAGGTGTCCTTCACCAACCAGAGCAGGTGGCTGAGCTGCTGCTCCCCTTCCTCTAAGAGGGTTGTTTGTTGTATGGGAGCATCAAGTCGTTCTTCAGGGCTTTGTAGAGACTGACAAAGGACTCAGCCCAAGTGTCTTTCTGGTGCCCCTGGGACTGAGCAGCTCTGTAGGCCGTGTAGACCATGGTCAGCACTGTCCTTTCAAAGTCTTCCTTCTTGAGGACCCTCGGGTAGGAAGACAGCCTGCTGCTCAGCCTGCGGATCTCTGTGATGCTCTTAGGGATAATCTCGTTGCAGATGGTGTCAAACTCAGCAGCCTTCCTCAGGGAAGCCAGCTCCTCATCTTTGATGGAGATCCTCTGACCTTTGTCGATGTCAAGCTCAGCTAAAAGAAACTGGTACAAAATCAGAATACAGAAAGCTATTTATTTCCTCCAAGAGACTCTAGACAGAGTGCATGTGAATTAACAACATGTTCTTGGGTCTTTAATTTTTGTCAAATGGAGACAGTTGCACTGTCTGGAGCTGGGGAAGAACAGAAAGTTGCTATGTGTTCTCACCTTTCTGGTGCACTATCACATAGCCACGGGTTTACTGCTGGGATGAATAAAAATGACACAAAGCCAGATAATGGATAACCCAATGATGGGCAGTATCCCCAGTCTTAGTTAAAGCTTAAGGTATCATATACTGAACCTCATAAAGTAGGACCACATCTTCCAGCGAGTTTTGTAACACTGGGTTCAGGAAGGCAGCTGAGGACCTCTTGAATCTCTGAGCAGCTGGGAAAAGCACAGCTGGAAAACAGCAATGGGAAAAGAGAGGTTCCATAAGGTGCCAAATACTGATAAGAAGCAGCACTTTTCAATAATAGAATCAAGTAAAAAAAATGCCTCTTGCGAAGTCTTACTGTACAGTATGGTATTTGACTGTAAATGAAATGTCTGGCAGGGATTGCTTTGACCCTGATCTACCAAGGATGGAGGTTAGCTGGATCCATAGGGTGCCTAACACAGGGTGCTTTTTTATCCAAGCCTGGGACTCTGAGTTGCACCACCAGAGGTGAAAGGAATAATTGCAGCATTAACATTGTCTGAAATACAGGCTCTTTTCTTGGATCTGGAAGGGGAAATCAGTACTGATACTCAACAAAAAAGACTTTATTTGGTCCGTTCTTCTACTGTCATGCTTCTGAGAGTCTACATTTCTCCTGGTTTCAATTGCCTAAAAATTGATCTCCTTATTTATTAGAGACAGATCCTCCAGAGAGTAACCACCTCATCTGTCCTGGGCATTTACACTTGGAAGGAGTGACTCACCCAGATGTCTCTGTCACTTCACTGAGCCTGTTACCAGCTTAGACAAGGCAGCTACATCCAGTGAGGTGAATCCCAGCTTAGTGTGACTTTAATACTTTGCAGTGTAATAACTGGAACAAAACAGAGCCTGCTACCATCAGGTATCTGTTCACCACTGTGAAGCGCACTACAGACGTTGTCTCAGGGAAATGAGACAGGAAACATATGTACAGCCCCTGAACTCAGCACCCCAGTGAAGTAGAGCATTTCCGGAATCAGTGACCTGGACAGTCCAGGGTATAGAAAACATCTGATGCTGTTTTAGAGAAGACCTAAATGCTTTGAGTTATTAACCAGGTTACAAACCATCCATGTACTGTTAAAAAGTCTAAATTACTTTCAGAGCAAAAGGGAAAAAACTCTGTTTAATGTTTTATTTGTATATTATTATTTGTATATAATTTCGATTTTGATGGTTGGGTAATCATAATTTGAATTTGTTGGATTTTTTTCTACCATTCAGGAATAGGAAGGGTTTACTTTTTTAACTTGTGCTTATGTGACTGTTGGTATGTTTCCCATAAACTTCACTTCTCAACTTTAACTGTTTGCCAATAGATACATTTGGAAACCAGTCTAAGAAAAAAAGGAAACAAATCCCCCAAATTTTGACAGGCATTATGATTCCCCTGTCAAAATTAAGATTTTTTAGAACTATGAGTAACAAGTAGTAGAACATGAAGCTTACTTTGAATTTTTTGGAAGGTTTCAACCTGCCCTTCCTCTACCAGATTTTTTTCCCATGAAACATTTTTACTCAATCAATTTTGTCTGGTTTTGCCAAAGTTCTTGTGATGGATTTTGCACGCTGCCTGTAAAAAACCTGAACGTCATTTAAAGCTCTCTCTTCTAGGCATTAAAAAAAGAAAAAGAAAAAAAAAAAGAAAAGAAAAGAAAAAAAAAAGGCTGGAGCAACTGTAATTATTTTATGGAAAAGCTGTCCCAGCTCTCTGACTACATGGTTTGTCAGACAATTTGCCTCTTTGGGGTTACCCAAGCAGATCATATATACGCAGTTTCTTCCACACTCGGTACCCTAAATGCAGCCCAGCTTCCTGCACCATTGGCAACTGCTGATTTTGTTATAGTTTGGCTTGTTAATGTTATTTAAATTCTAGCAAAGCAAGAAGAGAGAAACCAGAGCCTCAGGACCTTTATTATCCTGCATATGGAAAATGAATCATGATAACACTAGGTATGAAGCAATTCATACTTGATGATACAAAGGGTATTTTGGCCTTAAATTATCTAGGGAAAAGGTAAAATATTTTGTTAAATTACAATAAGCATACTGCAGTTAGATAGTGTAGTTAGGATGGGTTTCAGGCATAGCTGCTCCATCCCTGATGTTTCCCTCTCTTGCTCAGAGCTTTGCTGAGGCGCACTGGAGCTACTCCATTTTTTGCTCTTGACAATTCAAGGATGCAACTGAGTGCATGTGAAGCACTCCAAACTTCAGTACTAATTGCTGAGTAATTAAAACTTTTATTACTGGGCAATTAAAACTCTAATTACTTAGCAGCTGGCAGAAATCCAGTCCATAATGATGACTATTCATTTTTATACCTTTTAGCTTTTAGATGCCCTTTTGGTGAAAACAGCCTCAGAGCATGGAGTACCTCTACATCTGCAGATGGTTCACATCTCAAATATCCCCTGAGCCATGGGAAAAGTGTCTGTGGCATCTTGCTTCAGTGCTGTCATGCTTCTTGTCATCACACTGATTGCTTTTAAGCTTCAGTCCAAGCACAGATTCCCACCACGGAGCTGAGCACCCAGAAAAGCCTCAGGAAAGGATTCACACAAAAATGAATGCCATGCTATTGACTCAGTACTGTCCCACTTGCTGAGTCACAAGTAACACCTCAGAAAGAAGAAGGGTTTGTTAGGAGATTCAAAGGGACAAGGGCTTGGGCAGCTCTGTTGTGAGAAGGGATTTTTATGCGTATCAGAAGCATGCCAGCCTCTGTAGCACTGACTCTCTCGTCTCATTATCTCGTTCCCAAAACTTATTAAAGTTTGTTACAGTTCTTAGAGACTCAGAAAGTCCTTCAGAGCTCATTTGTATTTGTCACGGTTATCTGATTTTCCTGATCTGCATTTTATTCAGTCCTCTCTTTCTCCATCTTCCTGCTCAGCAGTCAAATCCTTCCACCATCATTCCCTCCATAGTCCTCCCCATGAATTCATGAGTTCCTCCAAGTCTGTATGAACACTTGGAGCAAGCACTCTGATTTTCATTGTACTGACTTAACATGTGTCAGCTAAGTACAAAAGCTGAGATACAGAAAGATTTTCAGTCAGTTTCTGCATTTGATGATTGCAAATTCCACTTGAAGCTTTTTTGCTGACTTTTACTTCTTCCTGCATTTACTTCCATCTCTGACATGAGTTGCCTGGGGACATCGAAGAACAGTAGAAGAGTTTATAACTCTTTACTAATTTCTTTCCCAAGAGACTTCTCTATAAAGCTCTCAAGCAACTGGAGATGCAGAGTGATGTGCATGATTTTATGTTCATATTGGAGGCAATTCATTTCAATGGAAGTAGCCATGAACATCTAAGCAGCAGAGATCCCCTATTAGTATTGACAGTGAAACCCCAGTCTAGTGATCTTGGAGGTTGGTGGAGAGTCTCCAATTGATTTACTGTTTTTATTTCTCTTACATATGTGTTGAGACATCTCCAATGTAGATATGGGTGCTTCTGTCCTAAGGGTTGGTCAGTCATGTGACAAAAAACTCATGATTTGCAGAGACAAGTTAGGAAAAATAAGATTTTCATTGTCCTTACTGAAAACATTTTCTATTATATATCTATATATAACTGCCATGCTCATCCTCTTCCAAACCCCTTCTCCAGAAAGGCCTTGGGAGTTCTGCCTTCCTGCCTGCTCAGAGCTCAGGGCTAGAGGTGGATCAGAGAGAGCAGCATATCTGAGCACAGCCACCCCCTCCAGGCAGCCCACACATCTCTGCTAAGGGGTGGTTAAACGTGCCCTCCAAAACTGGCACAGAAATCTCCATTTTCTTCTTGCTGCAGGAGCCTATCCAGTCCCCTACTGCTCTGTTGACTCAATTCCACTCTCCTTCAAGACTACCCAGGCTCTTAAAAAAAAAAAAAAAAAAAAAAAAAAAAAGCCATGTTTGCCAACTCATTGACCTGCTTCTAACCACTTAGCTAAAGCATCTTTATGGCTTAAACAAAACATCACATTTGAGGCTGACAATAGCCTCATTTTAAAGATGTTTTCATCTCTCTTAAGAGATTCTGCCAGAATCTTCTGCACTTCATTAGCTGTGTGGTAAATATTTGTGATACTTTCCCATGTTTTCCCTGCAGTTTGATTGGTGAGGGTACAGATGTTTAGTTTTGCTTTCCAGTTCATGCATCTGTTCATTATTTCCGAGATGCTTCCTGTGATGTGTTTGCTCAATAAGCACAGAGCATAGCTGCAGGAGTTCTGTTATTTGTGCATCATCATTGCCCTTTTCTTCCCCTATGAAAAGGTATGAAGCTCAATTTGGGACTGGTGCAGCCCATTGCTCCAAAGCAAGTACAGTTCCCCGGGGTTCTGGGGCATGAACAGTTTAATTGGGGTTATGATTCAGAAGGAATGATTTTGATTGCCATCAGAGGCATGGAAAAGACTTATCTCATTGCTTCAGAAGGACACCTTTCATGAAGGACAGGAGGAGCAGAGGAACAAGGATTTGATTTGAAGGATTTGATTCTTCAAGATGGATTCAAGTTTTTGCCAAAGAAAAAAACCTCAGCACTGCCATAAAGTGATTGTATAGGCAGATACATTAGCCATTATAATTAATGCCATGCAAAAAATAGTGAGTGGTCCAGGCTGACTGAATCTATTTTGTTGCAGAGACTGCTGGGCAGTTCCTAGAAGCTGTTGTTTTGGATTTTAGGGCAAATGCCTGAAATGCTCACAAGAGGATTCTTTAGTGTGTGGGTGACTGCACACTGGAGCAGATTGTCCAGAGGGGTTTTGGAATCTCCTGCACTGGAGATATTTTAAATTGTCTGAACACAATCCCATGCCATGTGCTCTGGCATGACCCTGTCCCTCCCAACCTGGCCCATTCTTTCTGGATGATTCTATAATTGTGTGTGGGAAGCAAAGGTTTGAACTCTCCTTGACCAGGCTGTGCAGAAGAGAAGAGGACACGAGTGTCAAAGTTTGCATACTTTTGAAAAAAGCTTTTGTTTTGTGCTTCTCTTTGATAACCTTACTTCTGAGGGCTTGCACACAGACCAGAAGTATCTTTTATACATAAAGAATTTTATTTCTGTCTAATGACACTTTGGTGGGTCCATGCTGAGTTTCTTCACTGCTGAAGTAACAATTCACTATTCCCTATTTGCTGCCTCAGGCTAACAGGGAAATACCCTTGAAAATACCTTGAAAATGGTACTCTTTACCA